AGCAGGGGTATGGGGGGAAGGAAGAGAGGGTGGGGTGTATGAATAATTTTTTTTCTGAAGGGAGTGGTAGATTGTGATGCATTTTATTGACAGTAATGGATGGGTGATCAAGTATGAAGACGTTAAAAAGCTATTCACATGAAATGTAAGAGGCACGAAGCTCTATTCATTCAACAGAGGTATTAAAATAATCCATCTCAAGCTCGGAATTTAATGAAAACTTGAGCCTAAAACCCCTTTTTAGAATAAGGTGGGCGTTGTAATATTCCAAGCAAAGCCAAACAGAAACCCAAACAAACTTCTTGCAAAAATCGATATCGACATTGATATCGTTGCAACTGATTACTTCTAGACTCCCGAAAGACAGATAAGTAGAGCCTACCTACTTTACTGTACACCCATTCATCCTAATCTCCTACCTAGCTAGTCCACCTACCTAATCCCAAAACATCACCCTATCCTATCCATCTCCATAAAGAATTTATTTCATTCACATCACGCAATCAATCACCTTACACCATCCTATTCCTTAAATACTCCTACCTATCCATCAACAAAAATCCTCACCAGAACCAGAGTGAAATATCCTAAAGTGAAACAAACTCCTAGATTCTCAAATATTAATTTTGGGGCCTGTTGGCGATTTTTCGAGGTGTGAGGGGGTGATGTCATTTTTTACGGAGGACGGTGAGTTGAGGTGGGATTCACTATGAGTGAGTAAGTGAGTAAGTGCTGTGTGGTGTTATAGTGATGAGACCACGAAGTGAAATAACTCCTGAATTCCGTTTTATCAATTTCGGGGCCTGTTGACGATTTTTCGAGGTATGAGGGGGTGATGTCATTTTGTATGGAGTACAGCGAGTCACATATTAGGAGTCACTATGAGTGAGTAAGTGAGTAAGTGTTGTGTTGTAGTATAGTGAGGCGAGACTGGATGGAGGAGTTTCTTCTATATGGGGGGCTTGGGTTCTTGAGATTTGAGTTACGGTTGGGTTTGTGGTTAAGGTGATGGTATTGGGTAAGGAAGTACTGTAGTTTTTTCTGTACTTACCATGTAGCTGGTACATCCTCTATGAATGGAAGTTATAGGCAAAAGGTAAAGGATATTCGAATGAGCAAGATATTAATTGGTAAGTTACATAGACTACAATCCAAGGAACATCCGAACCATCCGTTGAGAAAGACTGGAAAAGACGAGAAGAGCAAATCCCCCCAACACCACTTTACAACGCCGTATATCACACTGAGACGCAACTAGATCTGGAATCCAGCCCAACCATCCATAGCAAGGCCAATGTGTACAAAGACCAAACCGTTCCCATCCCAAATCGCCACAACTCCAAAGAAATGCCAAATAAGATACACTATCCTCCTCCCAATCATCTTGCTCAAAATACAATCCCCTATTTGAGGATGATAATGAGCAAGACCAGTATTATAATCAAGATGAGAATAATCGTCATCTGCATATTATCTTTCGCCTTCCTCGCAACAGTCCCCAAGTTCTTCCTCGCTTTATTCAAGGTATTTGCGTGTCTTTCAACATGCCCGTCTACTTCGTCCAGCATTTGAACATGCTCGTCCAATTCGTCTCCAATTTGTATACTCAATTCCCGTTGTCGCCCAATCGATTCCCCAAGTCTGTCCAGCGCTTCGTCCTGATCTCTCAGCACCTGTGTATGATAGGCATGTATCTGCTGATTATCCAACTGCGATTGATCTGGTGGACCGCTTGGATCGTCGCGATACGGAAAGAGGGCATTCCGTGTTTCATCTTCGTCTTGTACTAGCGGCGTATCGGAGAAACGAACGGACTTGGGGGAACTCGTGGCGGGTGAACTAGATCCACGGAGGGATTTTTTGAGGAAAGAAGAGGAGGATATGACTCTAGGTCGTTCAGAGGCTCTGGCAAAGTCTCCGGCGAGCGCGGGGTCGTTGGGTTGGGCTAACGATGTGCTACTGGGTGGATGTCCATGGAATTGAGATGCCAGATCATCGTATTGGGTTCGCAGAGTATGTTCTGTTTCCTGAAGCGCCTGAGATGCTCTGTACCAAGTCAGCTCATCGGTTCAACAGAATTGTTACATCAACCCCATGCCGATCGCCAATGCTTACGATGTGTCTCCAACTTCTCCCAACCGTATTCTTTCTTTGGTGACATTCTCCAGCCCTTCTCGTAATGAATCTAGAGATCGGGATATATGTCCATCTTGGGATGTAGGTTCCAGCTTAAGCGCTATCGCCCGCTGCCTTTCCAGCAATGATAGCTTGATGTGGTCTGCTAATAGGAAGTATTGGTTTGGGTTCGCCATAATCAAGTAAGCAGGTTATCCAGTCCGGGACTCGCGGAAACAAATGAAAGAGCAAAATGGAGATTTCGCAGACTATGGATTGAGCTGATCTTCAGTCGAGGAGATTGCTGAGTTGGGAGAAAATACAGAAGAATGATTATGGAAGAAAGTTGACTTGTAACGGAAGTTAGCAAAGCGTATTCGTAGCGACGTAGTCGCAAGTCAGACCGTCGGCCGAATCGCTTTACTTCCGCCTGGAGATTGCACCAATCACGTCGCAGTATTTCCAAAGCCTACAAAGCCTACAAAGGCTCCTTCCAACTCGGTACATCTTCGGTCGTATCACAACAGCAAGCTAACACAGCATTCGACAAAACCTCAGCCCAACCTCCTCAAAATACTCGTGGTAAGGCGATATTCTATACGGGATTCTGGCTCTTCATTCCTTCACATTGCTCTCGTCTTTTCCGGTTCTCAGTAGACCACCATCCTATTCACGAGAAGAGAAGCATCTGATATACTGATTCGTTATTGGTTTGCCACGAATTACCTTGTACACTAGTACAGCAGCCAGGGATCATTATCTCTACTTAACTGCAGAGAGCTCTCGAGCCTCAACTCACGTACAGTATCACGAAGAGGAAGTTCAGTATTGATACATTTTGATGGAAAACCCCTCGCCAGCTACAATGGACCGGCCACACACTCACCTCTCCGACCCCTCTCCACCCTTTCAAATCCATCTTCCACCAGTTTCCCCAGGAACGGCATTACCCAACTTAAATCTCAAACATTCGGTCGATTCCCGAGCCCTTACGTATGATGGAACCGTTGACGAAAATCTTGTTTGTCCGATATGTCGATGTCCTTTCGTCAACCCTGTATTGACAGGGTGCGACCATGTCTTCTGTCGGTCGTGTATCCTCGGTTCTCTATCACATAGGTCTCTATGTCCTATCGACCGATTACCTTTATCTGATGATACTATTACCAAAGCTCCGAAAATGGTCTTTAATCAACTGGATTCTCTGAGTGTCGAATGTCCTTGTTGCAAAGCCCGGATATCTAGGTCCACGGTTGAAAATCATCTGGAAAAATACTGCTTGGATGCCTTTGTCAGGTGTCCGGGTTATATTGAAGGATGTCCACAGATGGTAAAGAGGGTTGACTCGGAACGAGAGTGTTTACATTTCCTTGTTGACTGCCCTGATTGTTCGGAAGAGGTGGAGCAAATAGAAATGAAGGATCATCGAGAGAATCATTGCACCGAGAGGCTCATGCAATGTGAGCGTTGCGATCTTGAAATCATGCGCTGTGAAGAGAAACAGCACGAAGAATCATGTCCCGAGTTCATCAGAATATGCAAGTGGGCAGAATACGGCTGTCAATACAAGGCTGTAAGCAGGAAGCACATTTTACACCTTGAAAGTTGTCAATTCAAATTGATCGGACCCCTAGCCGCATCTCTCAAAGGAGAAATCAGCCAACTTGAAGACAAAGTCCTGGATTTGAAAGTGCAAAATGAACTACAAAGCCGCCGCATCAAATTCCTAGAGACCGGATCAAGAACGTCTTCAGATAGACCCATGGATCTAACAGATCTCTCCCTCGCAAATCTCTCAGTTTCCGGACCAACAGATCCTTCGGATTCAGGAAATGACTATCTCCTCTCACTTCTGGAAGCTCAACAAACTCGAATCAACCAGCTCACCGCGGAGCTGTCCGATTTCCAAGGCAAAAACACAATGATGCTCTTCAATGAAACGCTACCCATCAAAAACGAACTTGCGGAACTGAGGAGTACACAGCAGGTTACTTGTATGCATGTTCGTTGGCTCTTGAGGCTACGATTGCAGGAGAATCAGAGACGGTTTGGGGTTGGACCTGGGCCGGGGTCGAGTAGTGGTCCGGATGGTGGGGGGTTCGGTAATGATTTACCTCTTTCTAGGAGGTTGAGCGATTCAACGAGGGATGTTACTACGAAGCTTTAAGACTTGGTGTTTACTGAGTTCTCGAGTATGATTTATGAGTTATGGCCGATGACATTGATTGGCACTGGTGTTTGGGTAGTCAGTCTATTCTTGGGCTAAGGCCTTTTTTGAAGAAACGAAATGGATTGAAATGGGGTTCGTTGGTTGGCGTACTCGTAGTGGCTAGGGCGTTGATATTCCGGCTTGTAAGTGTATGGATTACATTCAATGAAGTCTGTTTTTTCATGTGACGTCTCGTCTTGACTTGGGGGGAGTCAGTCTGGCCTACATATTGAACTTGACGAGACGATTTCCCAACCAAGAAAAAAAGAAGAAGAAAAAGACTTGAAAGAATAGGAATCTGCTACCCGAAGGAAGGACTGGGCATTACGGATTGCTCGCCAGACGTCTGGACGAAAGGGAAATGATTGATTTCCTTTACCAGCTGATCGTCGTCGACTCGTCGTTTGGAGTATAGACTTGAGAACTTGAAGATTTGAAGGCATAGATACGCGCAAAACTGGGGTTGAGATTCTCTTTCTAGTCGCTTTCTCGCACTTTTTGTTATGGGGAAATACTTGTATACGGAGTGGGTGGAATTGTAAGATCTTACTCGAGTACGGAGGTAGTCTTGTGGCTAGACGGTATGGCTCTATGAGGTGGGAGGAATTTGAGAAGCTGGTATCTTACTCCAAGTTCGAATTAAGAATCTATGATTTGAGTTGTTGAACAATGAAGAGTCAAATTATTGAAGAGGGGTTGGATAAGAAAAAAACCACAATCCTTAATTATAAGATGATGCTATACGTAAATTGTGAACAGGCTACCTTCTAGCTGTTACATCAGAATCAAAATAAGTAGTAGCAACACTTCAAATTACTTATATACGAGGAGGAATTTTTTCTCCTCATTCTCCACTCTCACGATTAATCTTACAATACATGACGCATCGAAACCAAACCTCAACTCCATCTCAAAAACTCCCCTGTATTCCCCAGCTTTTCCCCACCCAAGGATTAGGAGCCATCCTCCTGATCGTAGATATCCTTAGTTTGCCATCATGCAATCAACCCCTTTCAAAACGTTCGCTGGTAAACATCCTAGGTTAGAAATTTGGACCCGGTAGTATACGACTTCCGAATGGGCGCAGAAGCCTCGAGGGGTGTTTGCATCATCGGTACGTGGTCGTCTTTAGGTATATCATCAAGTTTCCTCACCTTCGTCAAGGCCACTTTACGGACCACCCCTTTCTCTCCCTTTTCTCCTTTTTCAACATCTGGCTCGGGTGTCACTTCGGGCGAATATTTGAACTGAATTTTGGGCCCAAAGCGTTTTTGGTACCGAACGAGTCTCTGCTCCGATGAATAACTCTTTTCGTCGTAATTCGTCATATGGAACCGAACGTCCTCGTAACCCGACCAATGTGGCCGAACGAGTGGCTGTTCCGATGAAGAACTCTTTTGGAGACCCAACGCAAGCCACCGCGCGGGTGGCTTTTCACGCACACTCGGGGTCTGGCAGAGATCTACTCTCTCTGTACTCAGAGCGCCCCAGTAGATCTTTTTGTACTTGATCTCGTAGTCGATGTAGTTCTCCACGTCTTTAATTCCGATGTGTAAAGAGGGGAGGGCTAGGACTTTTTCTTCGGGACTTTCTGGTTGGAGGACGAGGCAGGGAAGGGTCCATTTTATATGTCTGGGTAAGATGGGGGAGAGCTGGAACAGTTTTTCGACCGAGGAGGGGGATAGGTTGGCTGCGAAGGCTTTCAATTCTGTTGTTTTGAAGGGTCGGAGTTGGATGCGGTGGGAGGTTTTGTTTTTTATGCGGATCCAGTAGCGGCCATCGAAGAGATGCCATTCTGACCAAGGAATTTCTTGTGTTTGCGCTTGAGGGTCTGGTGTTTCGAGTGACTCTGAAGTCAGATTTATTTCTGGGAGTGGAAAGGTATAGATGGGGTGTCTGGTTCTTGCGAAGGGACTTCGGGAGATGGTGTAGTAGGGTTTATTGGTTTGAGATTCTTCGGGATGTTGTAGTATTACGACCATCTCAACAGTGGACGACAACACTCTCTTGATGTCTTCGTTTGGGAAGAGTTCGGGGAATATCCGTTTTATGGTAAGTTCCAAGTCGCTCGCAAGGATCTCGTGTGGTGCGACGAGTTTGATTACATTTCGGATAATGTTTGTCGCAATGAATATTTTCTGATCAAGAGGCAAGTCCGTTGGGAGATCCAGAGTTGGGAAACGAATTTTTAGAATCCCACTTCGTGTTTGGAAGTCTGATATTTCGCATCGAGAAAGATACGAGTCGGCGATTTCTTGTTGCGTGAGGAAAATATCCTTCGCTCTCTCAGCCAATTGGAGAACATCCGACTTTGACAACGCAGCCGGCATTTTGTTGGAGTTGTAGGCATGTCTAATAGCATTTCTTTGGGTCAGCGTTGGGTCCTTGTTTGTAGCGTCTTCAAACCATTTCATCTTTTCCGCTTGACATGTAGCTATCAAACGACTTTTTGAAAAGCTTAACAATGGACGAAGAAGTTTTATGCCACCCGACGCTGTCGGTAGCTGAGGTGGGAATGGAAGTTTGCTCAGAAGCGTGTTTTGATAAGAAAATGTCTCCTCCACATCTCCACCACCTTGATGGACACCGTATATGCCACGGCATTCTGGTATTGGTGCATAAGGTTTCATACCCCTGAGTCCTTGTGTTGGATGGCCTTTCAACAATCTCATCACGACAGTCTCAGCTTGGTCATCCTCATGGTGGGCAACTAGTAAAGATCTGATTCCCAAGTCCCTACAGGCTTTCCCCAAAGTTCTGTAGCGAAATTTCCTCGCTTGCGTCTCAAAATTTGTTGGCTTTCTGGGCCCTCCCCAGTCTATTTGTAGAACGCGAGTCTGGATGCCTGAGAATATGAATTAGAGAGTAATTTGCAAATGCAGGAGAATCTACATACCTCTCTCAGCCAAAACTTTGGCAACAGAATTTGCTTCATCAGCACTCCCTTCTCTCGCTCCATGATCTACGACAAATGCATGAACATCCGGCATCGCATCATTTTGGAGCCTTAAACGGGAATATAGTGCTGCCAGCGCCATGGAATCAACGCCACCACTGATGGCAAGACCTATTGTATTTGGTAAGCATCGCGCATTCAAAGACTCTCATATCTGACTATGTGATACCCAGGTGGTTTCCAGGTTGCACCTACCCAATTTTCCAGAGGGATGGGCCCCATCCTTTCCTAGAAGACCAGGACCATATAGCTCAGTGAGAGCTTTTCCAAACTCTGCAACATCAATGGGCCGGCCTTCTGGCAATGAAGCCTTGACATCAAGCAAAGCTCTGAAACCACTACGAACAGTAGCACTCATTCTTATGCTGGACTTGGAATCGTGGTTGCTGTCGCCACATCCGTCTACGTTGGGCTGATTGTCTGAGGTGTGGTGTCTGTTTGGTCTACTCGAGTACTCATACCGGGCGGGCGAGCCAGGCGCAGGTGATATTTCTGGCGATAAGCGATAAGAAAGAACTCCAACTTTCTGACGACCTCCACTCACAACATGAACATATCTTCTCTCACACCTTGACAATTGACCCCGGCCTCGGCCTCCCCCTCAATCAACTCGGGGCTTCAGTACTTACAGCCCCCTCTTCTCCAATCCGAGCCAAACAACTTCACATGTCGTCCTTGCCCTCCTTCACCAGCTCTCTCACTGGTGGCGCAATTGCCGGTGTCGCCGTTGACCTATTCTTCTACCCCATCGACACCATTAAAACACGCATACAATCAAAAGCCGGCTTCATAGCCTCGGGGGGGTTCAAGAACATATATCGCGGAATTGGCAGCGTGGCAGTAGGAAGCGGACCAGGCGGAGCCCTCTTTTTCGCAACCTACGAGAAATCCAAGGAATCCCTACTTGCGAGGAAGCATGCGAGACAGCCGCTGAAGGATGGCGAAAAGGCGCCGTGTTGGAAGGACTGGCAAGAGTCAATGCTTGCGTCGAGTCTGGGAGAATTGGCTGCTTGTCTGGTGAGGGTGCCGACGGAAGTTGTGAAGCAACGGACGCAGGATGGGCAACATACTCGTTCGCTTCTGGCCGCGCAAGCGATTTGGTCGCGGCATTCGAGCATCGGGGTTTTGGGTGTCTTGAGGGAGATGTATCGTGGGTTTGGGATCACGGTTATGAGGGAGATTCCATTTTCCATCATACAGTACCCACTTTGGGAGATGATGAAGGAATTCAGTCGTCAAAAGTCGGGCCAGGACGAAGTGGAATGGTGGAAAGCTGCCATATATGGAGGGACTGCTGGTGGAATTGCTGCTGCGACTACTACACCCTTGGACGTTCTGAAAACGAGGAAGATGTTGGCAAAAGAGAAAATAGGAGTGCTGCCGCTGGGCCGTTTGATATTGAACGAGAAAGGCTTGAGAGGATTTTTTGCCGGAGTCGTTCCTCGTACTGGCTGGATGTTTGCGGGAGGTTGTGTCTTCCTTGGATCTTACGAGGCAGTAACAAATATCGTACACGATGCACGACAAAAGGCTCCAGATTTGCCATTTCTTACCTAAAGACACCGCACGACACTTATCTAATTTTGTATAATACTTTGGATATTGGAAGACATCAGACTTACTCTTAAAAATATGGGACCGGGGTTAAGAATTGGTGATTCAACTGGGGGGAGAGAAAGCGGACTCAAGACATCTGAGCTTGCACTGTGGTGGGCGGACCATGTACAAAAAAGTAACGAGATAGATGACATTGTAATTATAGAAAAGAAGAATCATTGGATTTTTCAATATAGACAATATAAATACCCCTCAAGGACATAAGAACATAGGAACATAAGAACATAAGAACAATAGGACAATCACAGCAATAACATATATATATATCATCAGACCACGAAAGCTTGTGCAAAAACCAGTTTAAGTTCTGTGAGAAGGCAAATACAATATAAGGTTAACATATCAAGTCATAATTAGAGGTATATCAAACCTGCAGGACCTGAATTACCTCATTGGATTCCCTTCCTACCATCAAAACCTTCAAATTCAATTTTAACCCCTTCTACACTTCAACCCTCTTCACCACCAACGCTTCCAGATACACTATGCCAGAGCCATCTAACCCCTCAATCAATTCCTCACTCCCCATTACCAAATCCTTCTTTTCCACCTCCCAAATCCATCATTCTACAGCCTTCTACATAACCCTTCCTTCACTTCATCTACATAACAACCCCCAAGTCCCTCTTCTCCTACCCATCCCCTTGTCCACAAACAAATGACGAATCAATCTAACTACTAGACTAACATTAATTAATATTTAGTAGACTGTATAGGTGTGTACGTTCAATAGATACTTCGTGTAAATACTCTTCTTGAAACTTGTCAGGTTCTATATGAAGAAGTATCCTTGTAGCTAAGAAATGGTATGTTGAGAGGGACTAAGATTAAGAGAGCTTAAACAGGTGAGGTAGGGATTACTTCTAAGTTTATTGTGGACTTCTGTTTACGCGTCGAGTGGATGTAGATATTTTGGGGTTTTTCTGAGAGGGGTTGGAAAGAGAAATTGGGGTTGTTGAGATTGTGTTATGGTATAATGAGTTCTTGGAGTAGTGTTTTAATCTATATACCACACACACATATATCCAGATATATTTATTTGCGAGAGGAAGACATGAGTAGAGCTTACGCAAGGTCAAAGCCAAGGTATCTACCATGCTTCAATCAAGTAACATAAATTACCCCTCACAGAAAAGCTCTCAAGAACCCCGGCGATGATGTAGAACCTATTATCCATTCAGGAAAACATCTTATACAACAACCTTGATCGTGGAATCATGATGATATCTCTAATTCGCGTGGGGTTTGTATATTTCTGCTAGATTAAGTGAGACGAGGCCAGGCGGGGTGGGGCTTCGAAGTACCCAGGAATCACACGAGAATGAAGAGCCGAAATGTAGTTGGTATAAACAAATGCAATTGATTAAAATGGGCCCTCATCCTAAGTATCATGCATCTGAAGACCCTCCAACCCCAAACGAACATAAGAAAAAAGTGGGATGTCATATCCCCGCATACCAATGCAAAATAATCAAATCCACCAACCCCATCCGTAGTGCTATAACATAAATGTATATAAACCGACAACACGCTTGACATGCCATATGCCTCTCACAGTCTACCAGCTATTCAAGAAAAATCAAACCGATCAGGTAACACGATAGGAGCGACCAATGTCCAGGTATATATACCGTAGCAAACCCAGGCACTGATGATCTTCACCCAACTAGCCCAGTATGTTCGCCCAACTGGCGCGAAGTCCTTGCCGTCCTTGGTAGATTCTTCGATATTCATGGTTAAGAGGGTCGCTACCCAGGTTGTTGCTAGGAAAAATATAACGTGGAAGAGAGCGTAGCTGTATTGAGTTGAGCTTCTCTCGTCGTCCTTTGCGCTGTTTCCACTGTCGCTATCTTGATCATCATCCAGGAGAGCGTCTGCGGGAAGACTTCCTTCTTCTACGGCTTGACGAAGTGCGGCAGCACGCATCTCACGGCGGCTGTCGGGTTGCTGAGTGACCAAATCATGCTCATCGTCATCTGGAAGTCTGATTCTCTTTCCCTTGCCTCCCAGAGCGATGCCTTGCGTTGCGGCTCGGGTAGTTGTGTAGGCAACAGTCAACATGGTGACAATAGCACCAATAACGATCGATGTTGTTCGAGTGCCCTGAGCTCGGATGAGAGGGTTGCACTGCTTATCATCTGGCTCCATAGAAACAGCCGACATTGTAAGGTAGGTACAGTAAATAGCAACCATAGCGGACTGGGCCAGACCAGCCTTGGGGTTGTATTCCTGGATTGCTGGATGAACCGAAACTACTGAACAGACGAGTAGTAGAATTAAATTTATCGTAATGGCGGCTTGGTTCATGGAGCATCCGTCCTTTGCAAAGAAAACATATTGAAGGATCGTCATAACGAGAGAACCAACAAACATTCCCAAGGTAGATCCGATCAGAATTCCCCTCCATACACGAGAATCGGTCTCCTCAATCCTTCCGAGACAATATTCTGCCCAACTGTGTGCTAAATCGACCAAGAGTATGAGACCGAGTAGGAGAAAGAGAGTGGCGCCGATCAAGGAGATATATTGACCCCAGACCATGAAGAATGCCTCGGGAATGAAGAAGGAAACCACAATCAAGGCCAACCAGGCAATGATCTTAGGACCCCAGAATCCATTTTGGATAGAAGCTCGAGGATCTTTTGAGGAGTTGACGCCGAGTAGAAGCAGACCCATTATCAGGTGGAATATTCCTAGCGCAAAGTTGATTCGGTGGACCGCAACCCATCCATAACAAGCTCCATCCGGGCAGGTAATCGTCATATAATCAAGCGTCAGATGTTGTAGTTTGTTGATCGCCCACGGAGTAAGCATTATCCATGATAGGATCGAGTTGACAAGGAGTATGAGGGCGTATGCTATTCTTGTCGCAACACTGAGGTTGTTAGCGATGGGATTTGGGCTTTTGATTTACAGGTTAAGCTCACCTATTGCCACACTTCCCGCAGGCACTGCAGACTGCTGAGCAAGTTGCCGCACCGCAACAACTGGCTGCAAAGCCTAGGAACTATAAAATGTCAGGTAGGCTCAAGAATCGGATAGTGGATGTATGGTGTTTGGGAGACGTACGGTGCCCATGCTAGGCACAGCCAGCAATGGCAAAGAGAGAAGAGCACCCATAGTGCCAGGCTGGATCGCAAGAGCGAACGGTGTTTGGTATTTGATGTGATCAGGATAGCTTTGGTGGTGTTGTTGGCGCAAATAGTGGTAGAATAAGTTGCCTGCGGGTTGATGTCAGTTGGAGTGACCGATCTGTTTCTGAGGCTGCTCCCGAAGCCATCGCTTGGCATGTACGAGTAAGCGGGCTCTTTTATACACATACGAGTGCGCAGTACCTCAGGTACAATCATATAAATCTACGCTACCATAATTTAGCTATCCAGTCATTTCCTAATAAAACATATGCATCAACGATATTGGCTCAGTCAAGCATCAAAATTAATTCAGCGCCGCTTTTGTTATCAGTAGAGACATTTGCCTGCAGCAAGTCACAATCCAGTCATCATCCTCCTGCACACTTCCACCACTTCCAGGTTCCGCCCCTGGCGCGATAACGTTCCTGATAGCTCCACCTCCACCTCCACTCCAGGTCTCCACTCTCCGCTCTACTTTCAGGTGTGCAGGTGAACAGTGAACACCAACCTTATCAACACATCACGAACACCTCAATTCCTTACCATCGTCCTTCCCAAACAGTCCGAGGCCGCGATGGTATTGAAGCCAACACCACAAACACGATAGAACCAGCACAACTTTCGGCGAAATGACACGCGAGTAAAATACATACCTCCTAAATCCCTATCCCCATCCCCATCCCCATCCCAGACTCATCATTCATCCCCATTCACGCTCCGACGTCTTCGCATCCCACTCCTACAACCGTCCCAAATATGTCAGAACAATCACTCAGGAGGGCGAGAATAGTCTCGAGTATAGCTGCCACATGTATATCCCTTGCGTGTGGTACCAACGTATGCGAAAACTCCCTAAACGACATCGTTTCACCACTAACGGTAACCAGTATGTCTATTCAGCATGGGCACCACAATTCGCCGAGAAGTTGAAGCTCTCTTCTACGCAGAGTAATCTGATCGGACTTTCTGCAAATCTGGGCATGTACACGATGGGGATACCTATAGGCATGTTGGTTGACACGAAAGGACCTCGACTTGCGGTTATGGTGGGCGCGATATTGCTGGCAGCCGGTTACTTTCCATTACACCAAGCTTTCGACAGGGGGTTCGCTTCGATGCCGTTACTGTGTATGTTTTCATATATGACGGGACTGGGCGGGTGTTTTGCCTTTGCTGCTTCAATCAAAACATCGGCTTTGAACTGGCCACGCCACCGGGGAACAGCAACGGGATTTCCCCTGGCAGCTTTTGGACTGAGTGCTTTCTTCTTCTCATCTTTTGCCCAATTTGTCTTGCCGGGCAATACGGGACATTTCTTACTCCTCCTGGCCTGTGGGACATTTGGCCTGGTATTTATTCCATTCTTCTTTTTACGGGTTTACCCCCACCCTCACTATACCGCCCTAGCCTCATCAGCTTCCGGCAACCGCCTCCACAGAACAAAATCGGAAGATAGCAAGAATAGGGCGGGAAGGGCCTTGTTGGAGGCAGAGCCAGGTAGGTCGCAATTCGTAGTCGAGCATATTCCACACACCACACAAGCACAGGCCCTAAATCAGATCCAAGTAGACCAAGTAGAGGAACCTGCGGACGAGCCCCTGTCCGAAACAGACGAGACCTCCTCCTTGGTTTCCAGAAATTCCTCATCCATCCCGGGTGATCTCGTCGAGAGTAGAAGTGAAGAAGAAATTAATGTTAAGGATCATGCTCATCGTGTAGATATCCGTGGTTTTCAGATGCTTCAATTGATGGAGTTCTGGCAAATGTTTATATTGATGGGCATCTTGACGGGTGTTGGTCTTATGACTATAAAGTAAGAGAGTCTTCTACTCCTCTGCTGCTGCCTACTGACTTCTTGAAGCAATATTGGAAATGATGTCCAGGCTTTGTGGATACACTACGATGATTCCGCAACCGAGGAATTTATCGGGAAGCGCCAGGCGATGCATGTTTCCATTCTATCAGTTTGCAGTTTTACGGGACGTCTCCTTAGCGGTATGATTTTCCCATATTCCAAAACCATACCCTTGCTAACTCTACTCTCACAGGTTTCGGCTCTGACTTCCTGGTAAAAATTGTGAAAGCCTCCAGGCTCTGGTGTCTAACTGCTGCCTGTGTTGTCTTTCTCATCGCCCAAATCGCCGCCCTGACAATTACCACACCCGTGAACCTCGTCTTCGTCTCCTCCCTTACGGGTCTGGCATATGGCTTTCTATTTGGCTGTTTCCCCTCCATCGTCGCCGAAGCCTTTGGCGTTAATGGCATGTCCCAGAATTGGGGAACTATGACTTTAAGTCCTGTCATTAGTGGGAATGTGTTCAACATCTTCTATGGTGAGGTGTTTGATGCTCACAGTGTTATTGGGAAGGACGGGGAGAGGGTGTGTAATGATGGTCTACAGTGCTATCGGAAGGCATACATTGTTACGGTCATTGCATGTTTGATCGGACTCGTTGTCAATCTTTGGAGTATTAGGTGGACGCATCTCGCGAGGCTAGAGGAGGATAGGATGCAAGAGCTTGAGGGGAGGGATGCGTAGTGGATTTTTGGATGCGGTGGTTATATCTTTTCTTTTTTGGTTTTGTGATTTAGAAGCGAATATAGATGGACTCAATTTTCATTTCTGACATAGTTCTTAAATATGGGCGGAGTTGACTTGGGCAACGTATTTGTTGAATGTGAGACCTGATTTTGAGAATATGGGAAATGGTACACTTGACATCTTAAGCCAATGATAGCGTCGGGTTGGGCTTGATGTCGGCTTTTTTTTTTTGAAAACACTCTACCAAGTAGCGTCCGCTAGTTCAGATGTTACTGCGTGTAGATTGGAAAATGATACAAATCTCTTCAAAGCAAGGAGGAAGTGGTGAGCATCAAGAACTCCCTCATGGTAAGGGGTTACAAGTAGGCTGTAGAATAATCCATGTCCAGCTGGAGTTGATCTCTTACCGGTATCCCATTTCTGCAAAAGAAAGGGGGGTTTAAAGTAAGTTGGGTAACTGGGTTTACAGTTTCACGTTCAGCTATGCTTTCTTATCGAACTGAAACCTTTCCGTGGGTACCTTACTTTCTCGTTCTGCTGTCTTTCTCGCCTGCCATAATACTCTTCTTAATTGCACTACTGTTCCGTCCTCGTACAACCCTCCGAAATCAACCAGAAATCCAAAGTAAAGACGAACTCTAAGCTTCAACCTCCCATTACCTTTCGCTCCAGACTCCAGACCACATAAACAAGCAGAAGCCTATTTAAAGTTCCCCCACCCCCTCGCTAAATCGAACCAATGAACCTGACATCCATCTACACCGCCCCAAAAACGGAGGAGCGCGCGCGATATTCAACCAATCAGGGGCGATATACTCAGCCCCCGCATGCCATGCCAGATCTTGGGCGGCGCGGGGTACTGTATAAAGAGTCCCTTTGAACCCCTCAATACAGTCTACTCTTGTTTTGTTGGACGGACGGACGAGTTTGATATCTACGAAGCAACCAACGTACTGTACTTTCACTCACTCACTATCAAAAAGAAAGAGCGTTTTGTTAAAACCCGACGAGAATCATGGATTTCCTTAAGAAGGCGGCGGCTGCGGCGGGGGGATCGAAGACCGGTGGGCAGGGCCAGAATCAACAACAGATGGGTCATGGACAGGCGGGGCCGGCGGGACAGAAGGAGGATTATGGTGATAAGGGTATGTCTTTTTTTCTTCCTCTCTTCTCTGGCTTTTCGTAGGTTGAGGAGAATGGGTGGATGCGTGGGATTGGGGTTAGGATGGTGTACTGATGGTGTGGTACTGTAGCTTTCAACTTCCTCGCCAAGAAATCGGGACATCAGGTTAACCACGCTACTTCGGAGAAGATCACCGATGGGATGAGGGGCATGTATGAGAAGGCAACCGGGTACGTTATTTTTTTCCTTCTTGCTTTTGTGGATTTTTTTGGTTTGGTCATCCCGGATGAGATTGGAATTTTGGATTTGGATGGGATACAAGTAGTTGCTAACGTTTGTTTCCGTGGTATAGAAAGAAGGTCGATCCTAAATACTCCAACTGAGTAAGCTTGGGGGTTGGAAGAGGGAGTTGAGTGGATATACCATGCCTAGATGGGACGACTTTGTTGTTTATGATTTCATGGACCTTTTTTGGGGGGGGAGGGGGTAGATGAATAATGAAACTTTTATCCTTCCGCGAAGTTGAGGGGAAGGCTGCAGTGGACTATTTCATTGTTGTCTCTTCTTTCTAGATTGGCTGTAATGGTGGTCTTTTGAGTGGTAACTTTGGCTGTCTAGGATTGTCTAGTTGAGAAAGAGGTAGTATACTTATACTGGTAAATTACCAAAACTGCGAGCCTTTACAGAGAGAAGACTTATATATCAGCCTTCTCAAGCTTCTCTCCAGACACATAACCAAATTCCAACAGCACCAGACCTTCAAAGATAAAAAAGAAGCTTCAGCCCACCACTTCAACAGAGAATTCCTACTCTCTACCCTCCCTCCGAACCTCCTTCATCCTAATCCAAAACTCCAGCTTCTCCCACATCCCAAGCATCCTAAAATCCCTCTCAAAATCCAATCCCCTCGCCTTCTCCTCAACTGCCTCAACATCAAAACTCCACAACACCTTCGCAATAAAAAGTCTCGTCTCCCGCCACGCCAACGCCTTCCCAGGACAAGATCTCGGCCCTTGACTGAATGGGTAAAAGCTGTCTCGGACGTCGTTGGCGAATAGTGGATCGTAGTGGGGATGTGAAGGGCTGAGCCAGCGTTGAGGGCGGAAGGAATGTGGTTGGGAGAAGTAGAGGGGTGAGCGGGTGAAGCCGTAGTGGGAGTATTGTACGGTTATCTGAGGAAGGGTTAGTTTCTTCTTGTTTACTTCCTTTATTTTATTCTTGTTGCAGGAAGTGTCGGTGGGGCTTACCCCTTTTTCAATATATGTCCCATCTATTGTTGTTCCAGGACTTACGCGAGGGAGTCCATCTATGAGGTATTAGTCCAAAACGTTCGATGAGATAAGGGAAGCCAAGGAGAAAGAAAGAGATCACAAAATCGAAAAGATACCAGCAAGAGAAAAGAGGCCCTGCTTACGACCAGCAATAACAGTCAACCTCAGACTCTCCATCAGCGCAGCATTCAAGCCCACCATCCCCGCCAAAGCATCCGTAGTAATATCCTCATACCTCCTAAACCTCTCCCTAATCTCTCTAACCACAACCTCCAAGAACCCTTTCTCAACCATTCTTTCCTCCTGAAGCAAAAACATGATCGTACAGAGAAATTGACTAGCAGGTGGCTCATACCCTGCAAGCATCACCTGCGCAGCAACAGTCTCGATCTTCTGGAACTCCCTCCCTTTTGGCACCTCCTCATGCGGTGGAGGAAGCAGTACCTCCATATGATCAAGATGTTCACCCTTTCCACGGTTTGCGATACGGGCGAGGAGGGCTTGATGATTTACTTTTCTTGCTCTGAGCTCGTTGAGCAGAGCCGTGGGAGGGACGAAGAGGAATTGGAGGGGTTGGAGGAGCGGGAATTTGTGCATGATTTGGTGGATTACTATGAAGAAGTTGATGCCCCAGACTGAGGAGAGGAGGGGTGAACTCTTCACTGTTTTGCAATGGTTAGGTTGGGAGATGGGAAAGGGGAGGGAGACGGACTATCTCGTAATTGATTTAAATCGTGACTGTAAGCCAGTTCACAAGCTATATTCAAAGCTACCCAATCTGCGCACTGCCTTTTCATTAGCGAATCCCGTAACTTAAATCCCCGTATATAAAGACCCCATATATAAAGAAGAATAAGCCATACCATCTTTAGTTCGATCCCTTCTTCTACTCCCCAAACTCCTTCATCTTCTCAACGAACAGATCAATATACTTATGCATCACCGGGTCCTTGGATTTGATAGATTTCACACTGAAAGATGGTGCCAAAGTCTTGGCGATTTTCTGGTGTTTATAAGGATCCTTTTCCCAGGTAATGCCTTGGTCCCCAACTCCTAGTTCTATGGAGTTGGTTTTGTGGAAGTGCTCGATGTGTTTCGTATGTGAGGCGTAGATATCTGTTCAGTTATGGAATTAGGAGGAATTGGTTTAGGAGAGGGGATAGAAAATGGTTAGGGGAGAAGAGGGAGGTACCTGTAGCAGCTTGGGGAGTGATGAATACTAGTTCGTTTGGGGCGATGCGGACTATATCTCCTGTGGAAATGCTTAGTAGGGTTTATCATAGGATTTGTGACTGAAGCTTACCATATTTATCGAGTGTTTTGGCGATTGTCATTGGATACTTCCCCGTCATCCTAATTTTCGTCAATGAAACTTCTGGTTTTCAAAATAGGAGGTATGTACATACCAATGATACGCAAACCACACATTCGAGACTGCTGCAAGTCTCGGACCAGCAAACTTAGAGGCTGGATGGAAGTATAATAGATAAACACAGCGAAAGAGAGCGTAAAATGTTAGCTATATATAGTTCACTTTTAGCTATTTTACCGGATGAATGATGGGTTTACGACGAAGTTCACTTACTGCACCAAGGAATAACGAATCAAGTTGGGAAAACTTTAATTGTCCCATGAAATCCATGACCTGAGGTAATTCAATGAATTTCATTGTGTCTTTATACCAGCTGTCTAGATTGCCGGTGCAAATGGGTTGTCCAACAAAGCACAGTGGGAGGTACATGTAGCCATTGAATGTAGATAAATGATTACATTACAACCCAACACAGCTTCATGTTGGTAAATAAGTGCCGAGTTACATCGGGGAATTTAAAGCCTGTAAATGGAGAAATACCCACAATGTTAGTACCAACATGCAACCAACCAGTATCCACAACACCACAGCACCCCTGTCGTCCGCTCTCGCTTAAGTTGGAAAATCATGGATTTTGTTAGTTTGAGATAAGCTCCCACCTTCCTCATAAATGTACATAACCAAGGTACTGAACCTTCTTCTAAAAGGAAAAGAACACTCGGAAATAATGTCTACACCCACCTCCACCACCACCGAACCCGAGAAGGAACAAATGTCCTCAGGTACAGCACTTGTCAGCCAATCAAGGGATGAGCCCCAAGCAGAAATTGCACCACCGGCTTTCAAACCCGGCTTCCAGTTCTTGGCCATCATGGGAGGTCTGAGTGCCACTTCCCTGATCGCATCGCTTGAGAACAGTGTGGTGGTGACGGCGGGTCCATCCATGGTTGCAGACTTGGAGATGGGTGAGGAGTATGTTTGGATTGCGAATGCTTTTTTCGTCTGTTGGTAAGTTCTATCCGCGTGATTTGGCAAGATGACATTTGCTGACCTATCTTCGTTCTTTAGTGCAGCAGTTCAACCTCTTTTCGGTCAGCTCTGTAATATTTTCGGGCGTCGGTGGCTAATGCTATCTGCTACTGCTCTATTTACTCTCGGTAGTGGTATTTGTGGCGGTGCCGTAAACGGCTCTATGCTCATAGCCGGGCGTGCTGTTCAGGGTGCTGGCTCTGGAGGTGTAGTGATGATTGTTCATGTTATACTCGCTGATATGGTTCCTTTGCGCCAACGTGGCTACTACCTCGCTATCATCGTGACATTCTATGGGCTTGGACTCACCCTGGGACCTTTCATTGGAGGCGCCATGGTGACTAAAAGCGTCGTATAACTAAAATAGTTCTATAAAGAACTTAGAAAAATTGTCCCTCGTCACTTTTTCTTAGCCTTGGTATACTACTATCATTATCTTACTTGTACTAGAAGTTTAGTATAACAACACTTTATATGTTGTGTATAGAGTAACGACCAGGTATATTACATATGTCAATTGCAAGCTTTAGGTGTGGACCTCACAGAGCTTGCTAGATCACTGAAATCAGAATAGTAAAACTCCAGACTGTATCCCAAAAGAGAAACAGCCTTCTAGAGAATCCCGAGGCAAGTGAGTAATCACAGGCTGTGGGTAGGGCTTCTAAAGGATAAGCCGAAGCTTGACGCTACCGATGCGACATGCGCCAAAGCCCAAGCACATTTCAAATAATACCACATTAGCTGTAGAAATGGTTGAAAGTTTTACTCATGTAGCTGAGAAGGTATCAAATTTTATTGGGGTGGGTGGGTGCGCAAATGCGTCGAGGGAGGTCGGCGCGGTTGTGTTGTTAGCTTTGTTTACGCGAGGATAGACTTACGCGAAAATGGGTTTGGCTGAGCGGCAGGTCTTCAAAACACATGGGAGATAAAAACTATATCACTCCCAAGACCTCTTCAATCATGGTTTATAGAACATACACATACACATTCACATCCAACAAACTCACCTCCTAACCCACATCCCCAAACCCAACCCCTCCTTGACATCCTTCACATCCTTCACCATCACTTCTCACCAACTTCCCCGACTCAATCCCCGTTCCCCCGTTCCCCGTCCCATCATAGTGAATCCCCCCTCCCACACCCTCTACCAATCAAAGACGAATCCCGGTTTTGTTGCACATCGCACCTTGTCTTGCACCTCAAAAAATCGACACTTTGCTCTCCCCAGGACCGGGCAAACGGAGGTTGCAAACCCCGTTGGTTTTATAGTGAATCCTCCTCGCCCACCACCCTTAACCTATTGAGGAAGGATCCCAGTTTTGTTGCATTTCGCACAGAGGGCTGCACCTTGAAAAATCGACACTTGGAGGTCACAGGATCGGGGAACGGGGGTTGGGAAGGCCGATCCAGCGAATTTCACAAGCTTGGGTCTTGAGTGGACTTGGGTATTAGGAAGGAGTTTCACTTCCGTACTCTTACCCCTTCAAGTCTAGGCTTGTATAAGTAAGCCAAGACTGAAAATTAAAGTGATATAGTCTGGTAAAGTTTGAAGCCGGCTGCAGTGTTGAGTTTTGCGTGAGAAGTATAATATAAACTGGATTTGAGAGCTAATATCAAGTGAAGCACCCCCACAGAGTGAGAATAGCGACAGTGACAGTAAATTGGCGTGTCGACCCACCCCTATCACTTCCTGATATTTACTTCTACTGCTAGTTCACAGGTAATAGTTGTCATTAATGAACTGCTCTAATATCATATTCCTGTCGTATAAAACATGTCATAGCAGCAGAATTTACACCCATCCAGCTTATACATGAAACACAAAAGAACCCATCCACCCTACAAAAACCCCTCCAAAAAAACACCCAAGACTTCTCCTCACTATCCTCAGAACTTCCACAGAAACCCCAGATACCAAAATCTACAGCCTAAAATATTCCTCATCCATAAAATTCATTCTTCGCTTGTGTACGAGCACCAGCGAGTAGAAACTTGCTATTTCCAAGAACGTCACACACATGTAAAAGCCGTTATTGCTTGATAAACGGGTTATGTCGAGATGGCTCTATAGGATGTTCCTCTATTAACATGGTTGTAGGTTTCCTGGCTAGCTAGTGATGCCAGCTCTGTCTCAGATATGGTACTGGAAGTTAAGAAAATCGGAAAATCCCCACCCAGTAAGCGAGGCCAAAACAACGACACAGAAAACGACCATAACCGCGATTTCATCCAGCGCCCTCGATGTTCTTCACCAACAACTCAGCAAGAGAACAGAATATAAAACAGACAGCGGTCAAAATCATTGAGCAACGTGTATATTTTCTATGCCTCTTTGTCAACGGACATAACCACCCAAGCTTATAGACAGGGGACTCGTGAGGCCGTTCCAACCTCGTTATGTACAAAAAGAAGAAAACGCCCTTCTCTCATCCACCCAAACCAGTCTGGCTCCAAACGAGACAAACCAGCCCAGCCCAGCTTATTCGCCCGGGCCAACCACCATCCATTCCCAAATCACATAAAATCATAAAAAAAAAAACTCCATCCATGATCCCACCATCATATAACCCCCAGACCAACTCCTTCTTTCTATGCATACAAAGAAAGAAAGAAAAGCCTTCTAATTTCAATCCCTATAGTAGAACGCCATGATATCTATCCATTTTTCTATGTCGCGTTCCCTCGTCTCTCGTACAAACCTCTTCAAGAAGCAATGCCAATAGCAACTTGGTTCTGCCTCGAAACCTTTTCTAAGCATGTTTTCAAGTCTTTCCCTGGTACTGCAGCGAGGACTTGCATGCAGGAGCCGCAAGTACTGAGACAACACCAAGAGCATTTCCACCTCTGTTCCGCATCGCGACGCTGGCAGACCATACATGCTACGGGACAGAGCGTGTTTCGAGTGGACCGCATGAAGCGGTGGTTTTGGTAGCATTCCAGCTGGACGTTGCTAATCGGAGGCCCTGGAAAGACGGTCCCGGGTTTTGCGACGGGAGCTGGAAAGGTTGGAAAGTGGATTTTCTTGGTGGGCGAGGAGAGAGCGAGTGGTGAGGTTGCTAGGGAGGAACTGGGCCTTGGTGAGACTTCTGGAGTTAGGATTCTAGCGGTATCATTAGGCTTGTGGGGTTGTGGTGATTGCATGATGGTTGGCTCGGAGCTGATGGTGAGAGTCTCGGAGGTACCTCGTGAATGGGAGGTGGCAGAGAGGAAATCGATGGGCTCTTCAGAGGTAGCGACCGAGAGACTGGGAAGAAGCGTGGTGGTGCCATTGGTGCCTCTGGTCGTCGGTCTTGACTGTGACTTGGCGGGGACTTCGGGTGGTGGAGTTGAGTATTCTGAAGGTAGAGAAGGCGAGCTCTCACTCCTTACGTTCTCTTTGCGAAGTTGAAAATCAAAGGTTGGAGTAGGGGCTGATTTCGTGGGATCCTGGTTCTGTGTTGTGGTGCCATTGCCATTTTGTCGAATCATTGGATCCTCATTGCCGAAGTCATTGAGCTTCGATTTCGAATGCTTCTCCTTCAGCTTCGTGAGTTTGTTTCCCATCAAGTCCAAGTCGGGTTGCGCTGGCGCTGGCGCTGGAGCTGGACGGATAGGAACTGGCTTTCGCTGTTGTCCTGCGGAACTTTTGGGTAGCGCGGGCAAGGATCTTGCCTCGGGCTTTGGTGGTGGTTGCGTTCGTGGTTGCTCCTGCCTTTGCGCGTGTTGCTGTGGTGGGCTGGAGTGCCTGGAGTGCCTGGCAGTGGAGCCGTTGCTTCTTTCCAACCGCAACTCGGAAAAGTAGATACTCCTCTCACTTCTCGCCGACCGACGACGCCAGAGATCAATGGCCACAGGCGACTTGGTGAAGCCGGATGTGGGTTGGGCCAGAATGTGGTGGATGTTTTGAGGTGATGAGCTGGGCGGCGTTCTGGGCTCTCGTTGCCTGTCTTTGGGCGGCGGTGGTGGACCGCTTTCTGAATCACTGGGTGACTGTGGTTCGTCGTCACTGTGAATGTCTCTGCTGCTATCCGAGCCGTTGGATAGGGATGGCGAGTCTGAAAAATAAGCCGACGAGATGGAAGTGGACCGGGCCCGATGTCTACACTGCGAGATGCTCTCGACTTTTGCAACGGGCTTCACTTGGGGAATGCTCTCAGTACTGCCTACGGCTCGTCGTGGAATCATCATGGCTGTCGACATCGAGTCGTAGTCGTCTTTGGGCGGGAGCGTAGGACCAGGAGATGATATGGTTCGGAAGATGCTCTTGGGGGGCACCGCTGGTCTTGTAGGAGCGTTTGGGAGGACTTTGGAGAACCGGGAACGGCCTCTTGGTGCTTCAACTCTACCTGTCTCTGTACCGGTACCAGTAGACATACTTTTTTCCCCGTAACCTGTACGAACAAATAAGCTGCCGAAGCTGATGCTAGCAAGCCTGATGGCTTCAATTATACGTTTTCCTTAGACTCGCGCAATTGCTTGCTTCTCCACCCCACGGCACCCAAGGGAGAGGCATGGTGGAGATGCCCTATGGCCCTGGTGTTGATTTGACTTCAAAATAAAAATGGAGCTACGATGATGATGCATCTGAAACGAGGAGCGTTGAGCTTCATCAAATCACCGTCAGCCTTCGCATCGAAGGTTTCTCGCGGTTCATGCGTGGGTTTGCTCCTTGGGGCGAGCCTCGAGCGTAAAATAACGGACCGTCGTCTCGAGCGCCCGTTTGAGGCAATTTTATACGATGGAAGGGCTATCGCATGAGAATCTTATCCCATCATGGGATAAGATTGGTTGATATACCGTACAGTGCGTATTTACTTCGTAAGTTCTGTATCAAGCTATCTTCCGATATCGATACCGCGCGGGAAGATTTGCAAGGTATCGGTAGGTACTGTAAGTTACGGTGCGAGTAAGAAATACTTAAATTCTATAGTTGCATTCGTCATGACCGCTTGGAAAGTTGAAATGATTCATTCAACCGAAGTTTGGAGATGCGATGGCAGCACGACAACCGAATACCACCCGTACAGCGCTGAGGTGTTTGTCCGAAGCAAGCTGGATATGAATATTCGTTTTTTCCCTCGGATTGCTCAATGTTGTTGCACCAGTGACCTCTCCCTTGAGCATGCGAGATTGGAGCTAGTCGAGTCACTTGTGTGAGACGGCTATTTATAAGAACCGAGGTTTGATGAACATCCGTCAGGAGTTGCTCTGGGCTGGGCAAAGCAGAGGATGTCGTCTTTTTGGTGGATCTCACGTGGGATTTGGATTTTCATCCAAACTTCAAACTCCGGATCTTCGGTGGATGGTTATCGGGAAGCTGAAAGTTGGGAATGGGAACAGAGGGATAGCCCTAGGTCCTATTTATAGACAGGTGGTGATCGATCTGCAAGCATCCATGGATAGGTAGATTTGTGCTAGGCCTTCTCACCGAGTCTCTACTATACTCATAAACCGAGGGAAAAAGAAAATCTCATTTGTTCCTTTCATTTTCTTTCTCTCTGCGAAGCGTTCCTCTTCTTGTCTTGCATCATTACATGAGTATTAAGTACCGGTAGCCAAGAGTCTTTTGGACGACTTTCTAGGTTCAGGGGAATAGAGTTAGTAGGTAGGTTAGTCGGTTGTCTTTGCTTGAAACGAGTACCTGATTACTATCCAGTAAGGAGTAGCTATCAAGCAAACGGCTCTTTAACCGAGACAATGACATCTCCAACTACCCGAGGACGTTACTCCTGATCTCTGATAGTAGTGAATTTCTTTGTTTTATGTGAATAATGAATTCTAAATTGTGAAGCGTTGATTGTGTCGAGTGAGAGTCTTCCACATAGTACATACCCACATAAGCTCGATAGGTCCGGTTATCCGAGGTCCCTCCGAGTATGTTTACCCTGCGACCCAGTCAACAAACTTGATCGTATTTCATCCCGCAATATGTCAACCATACCCGCACGAACGCGATCACTGCGCAAGCCCTCAGAAATTGGGAGCAAATATGGCTCTTCCAATGGCAAAACGACACCTGCAGAAGTTCCCGAGAGGAGTACAACTACCCGCTCTTCAGCGGGTGAAACTAGTCGACTTCCAACCGTGAGAACAAGACCTACATCGCTATACGGACGACCTCCCCCAAGTGCCAGTGCCGGTACCAATGGCATAGCGACCAAATCTTCTATACGTACCCCGACTTCAATATCGGGTAGACCTGCTTCAATTGATCTATCGAGACGTCTATCAACCACCAAGTCTGCGGCACCTCCTTCAAACGCAGAACCAATCAAGAAAGACCGCTCAAGACCTCCCGTAACGCAGATACGCCATCTCAGAAACTCTTCCACGAATTCCGTTTCTCCCTCGGCATCCCCAGCATCCTCAACATCAAGAATATCAGCTCACACCCGTACCAAATCCCTCTTGACATCCTCCTCCACCGCTCTTCGGCCCCCAGCAACACGCGAACCCTTAGCAGAACCCGCCACAACCCGAGTCCTACGCTCCGAATCACAACCCAAGAAACCCTCCTTCTCAACCCTCCAACAACATTTCTCCCCCGCCAAGAACCTAGCTCCAAAACCTCATCCGGCATCCTTTCTCGCCCCGCCGTCGCCCAGTAAACTCCCCTCCAACATCGCCATCTCAGCCGAGACCGCAAAACTACAGAACGAGTTACTGCAATTACATCTACTGCACAAAGACGCAGGGGCCGTCACAGAAGAATGGAAAGCTAGCGCGAAGAAGAAACTAGGGACGCGATTTCAAGATGTGGTACGACGGAATGATGAACTTATGCAATCAGAGGTCGATGAAACGGGGAAGATAAATGCTGTTGCTTTGAGGAAGTGGAAGGAGGAGGGTTCACCTGGGTGGGGACTAGATGAGAAAATCCAGGTACTGGATGAAGTCGTGAACGGCGTATGGAATCTAGGAGAATACAACGGGAAATACGCGCGTGTGGTACGAAAATTCGAACGCTGGCTTAGCAAAAGCCAAGGCATCTTAGCATCCCGAGAAGATGACGACACCGTTGGAAATGAGGAATTCGTCTTCTTGGAGGCACTGGAACATTCCTGGAAAGACGAATGTATGACTCTGACGAGGAAGTTGGACACCTGGAAGCTGCATTTGAGGGATTTGAGGGAGTTGGAAAAGGGGTCGAGTTTGGCTACCGTTGTGGAGGAGTATAGGAAATTGGTTCAAGGTATGTTGTTGGAATTAGGTGTTATGGGGGAGATTGAGAGGGATGTGATGGTGAGGGAGAGTGATTGGATTAAGGAGATGAATGACGATGATGATGAAGGAGGGGATGTGCAAACTGCCGGGGCTTGTTGGAGAGCTTCAAGATAGGATGGTTTTTTTTGTGATTCTTATTGGGATAGCGGTTTAGCGAAATTAAATATCTATGTTCCGGTAGGTTTAAAAGTACAGTCAAAGCGTATTGATATAGGGTCTTGCAAAGCCCTCTATAAAACCAGTACCATTTCTCCCTTTTCATTCTTCGGTATATAATTAGGAAAGACGAGCAATCAGCAGGAATACCTACCCTCATCTCCTCCTTGAAAATAAATCAGTCTGCTGCATCGAGTACACCACTCACTACCAAAACCACCATTACCATTACAACTCCACCCTGCCCCCCAATCACCCTGGACTTTCAGTCGCCACGTAGGTATACATATATCTTACGAGGTATACATACGTCCCCATAGTTCCTCTCCAATCATGATGTGCCAGGTAAGGTATGGTATGTTCTCTCATCCCCATCCCCTGCCGACGCTGGCTTCTACTGCGTTGGATTCCACTAGGTTGAAGAAAGAAGGAAATACCTTTACAGTAAGTCCACTCGCAAGTTACGTAAGCGTCTTGGAGTAGGATGTATGTAAAAGGTAATACGTGTCGTCGTTGTTGTTGTTGTTGTTGGGCTAGTGATAGGAGGTACGGTACGGTGTGAATAGGTGGAGGAAGGGTTGTTTTTGATTGTTTTTGATTGTTGGGATTGAATTGGATTGGATTGGATTGGATTGTTTGTCCCGATCAGGTTTCTCTGATGGGTAGAGATACTGTACCTAGGTAAGCGATGCGGTACTTTATACTTTCCTTGGTTTAAACAGTATATTTCCACAGACCCGGCGCGATATTATCAATATAATACCAGGGGGTCGCGTATCGGAAAGGGGATTTTTTGATGATAATAGTATACCTACCTACCGTATCGTATTCTTAATTTCTTAGTGATAAATGATATGATAGATAGGTATCGATGATAGGGGTAAGCTAAGGACGTGGTTACGAACTTACGTGGAGAAGTAGATGTCTGTCTGGTTCTGAGTTGATAAGAGAGGGCTTTGGGTTTAATGGTGTGGTAGTATAGTAGTGATTGGAGTATACAGTTATGTTATATGTATGTATGGTACTAAGCTATCTGGGTTGAGAGGATTTTTTTGTGGGTGGATTTCTATGAGAAGAAAAATTTGTTTTTGATTGAGATATTATCTAGGTAGGTAATTAGTTTACTCGATAACCCTCCTATTGCTTAGATATCGTCACTTTTTACACGATAATTACCTACCCATCTTTATTATAGAAATCTAAACGGCGATATATCACGATATTCTATCATATATTTCCGATAAATATCGTCTCGGCGCCTAGGAATGTATTTCCAATATCTCCTCAATGTATCCCTCGGTTGAGGTTGAGGTTGAGGTTGATGTTCTGTACACTTGTTTCCAGAAGGGAGTTGTGGATGTGTACCCAACAGTTGACTACCATGCGTCTATATCTCAAGTACAGAACGCTCAGAGGGGCCGAAGATGCAGTAGTCTAAATTTTTGGGGATTCAGGTTTTCGGAATGTTGTTGTCGAGTGGTGGATGTAGTGTCGATTTACTCGCATACGTATACGGGGCTTTCCTTTCCTTCTAAGTTTTTGTTTGATGGGTACTGTGCTCTTTCTTTTACGGCTGAGGAAGTGGGGATCTTGGATGGGGGGAGCGAGAGATGTTCTTGGGATGGATCTGGACACCAAGTTTGTCCAGGAGGGCGTTCCCGTGCACTTGCTGGTCTGAGTAATTAGGATGGTGGGGGATTATATATTGTCTGTCTTGGAATGGGAGTGGGGTTGGGTGTTTTGGTAACTTGGTTTGATTGCTTATGTGGGAATGTGGGAATGATTGTTCAAAGAGGGATTATGAAGGCTATGAAATAGAGGCTTTTGATGGTTGGAATGGTAGGGCAGTAATAATTACATGTTTTTATTTCCGAGGGTTGAATTTAGGGAGGTTTTAGAAAATAGTAAATACGGTGGGAACACGACCTCTTGGGATTTCTCTTTTACAAAAGAAGCCTCTTATTTTGAATTTGTGACGTAGGATAATAGATGTTGAGAATTCATGATGGTTGCGAAACAAGGTCTTAGATTTTGATATTGAGATCTTCAGGTTGGGTCACCGCAAAACTCACCTCTTCACCCTACTGTCTAGCTTATCTTACTAGCGATGATGGTATGGAGATATATATCAAGGAGAAATGTGTCATAGAATTCCTGTCATACAAAAAGCAAGGGGAAAAACAAATTGCAACGGTGGTTGTTATCTTGGGATGGTTCGTAGATAAGGCAGGGAACAAGCCTGTGCAACATGCCCTCAAGAATCTCTGATCACCTACATATAATGGCAAGGAATGGTACCACGGATTTCTTCGTAATCTTGTCAAAATACTCTGATTTTATTTGTTTACTGTCGAATGAATGATTACTGTCGAATGTACGATGTGCTGTTCTTGTGGTTACATCCGTTTGATATTCATATCTGTCCGCAGGATTTCCTCTAATAAGTGGTAATAACAATTCGAGAAATAGGATTCGATCTGACAATTGAGATCTCGGACAGATATTGTTGTGAATTGGTTGGGATAAGCTAAAGTTATAAGAGTCTAAGTTGAGATACTCGTACGGGGAGGAAGTTAGGTTAAGCGGGGAGCTAAGAAGTAAAGCTAAAGGCGTTACCACAAAAATCAACCACCATCCGTACCTTTACGACTACAAGCAGCCATCAGATCAAAAATTCCCCAAATACAGTCCTACGACTCGACATCATTCAATTATCACTTGTTTCTTCATTCACTCTATGCTGGCATATGCGTGGTTGAGAACTCCCGATTATACTCTAAAGTCATCCTCTGTCACCTCGCTTATTTGCAACAGTGTTGTTTGCAGCACAATTGGTCTTTGGAGACCTCCTTTTGCCTCACAGATATATCACAAAATATTACTGTCTACAGTGAACCTGATGGAACAGGATGCGGTTTATTCTGTTTGGAGGAAATTGTAATTGACTTGTTCATTCTGGCGATTTGTTATTGCTTTATTCATGGTTGATATGGTATAGAACCCACCAGTTCCCGGTCAAAGCACCTTAATACTGGTTCTCAGCAAGGCGGAAAGTATAGACGTATTTTCTTGTTTCTTCGCTTACTGAGCGACATGGTATTTTATCAGCACCGGTGAATTCTTAACGATTATTATAAGAGATAGTAAGCATTGACAACGGTTTTATAGAGGGTCTTCAGGGTAGTAAGCTTGATTGCTAGGTATTTCGTAAGAAGGTGTAGTTCCTTAGAGATAAAGATATCTGGCTATATACTATATATCGTTCTCGCAACGAGTGACAGTGTGGTGTCCAGAGATAATTAGATCTCCTTGGAACTTGGAAGTGTTTCTTCTCATTCAATAACGAGTTTTCCTTTCTGTTGATAGGTAATAGGACCTAGCGAACATGGAGTCTATCGTTAATTTAGCCATCAGGTTTCTGTTACTCGTCCAATAACCTTGAAGAAGCAATAGTTGAAATATATAGAGTGTGTAATTCAGAAAGATTTTGGCATTAAGGGTGGAGAGCGTAGTAAAACAAAGTACTTAAATTGTTGCTGCTTTTTCTTTGTAATTACTGTCAGCTCTTTTCTACGAGAGGGGACGAGGGTGGAGATCTTTTACATGCCTTGAATTATTGAATACCAGCGAACTGCGTCGTTTCAAATTATGGCTTCTAAGTATGTAAAGTCGAGATGCCTGTCTTTGCGCGCAACGAGTCAATGGGGCCACCGCAAATCAAGATGTATAGTTCTAGAATGCCAAACCTTGATGATTGGGGTATATTGTTCTAAGGGTAATGAATAGAAGTCATGTAGGGATAAAGTTAGGATTCCGGTGGGCGGGTTGCATTCATATTCGCTTAGGGCATGCTTCACTTGGACTTTCTTAGCCTTCGCCCCCGGATAAGATCGACAAGAATATTCCCATTCAATCTGAAACTGGCATAAGCTTGCCCCTCGCTAACTTCCTTGGCTACTTTCTCTCAAATTTCTCTTTGCCCACGAATCTGAAGCCATCTCGGGAAGAGCGGAAAAAGCAAAAGATCCCTGAAGGCTATTATCGATGTTCATATGAAAGAGTTCAATGAAACGCAATTACATCTGATTAATAGAGCTGTTGTAAATTATTATCAACCACCAATCGCCAAAAAAGAAAAGCAGTGAAACTCGTAAACGCTAACTTCTAAAGTGTTCAATGAAGGATCTGTCGCTCTCAAGCTAAAGGCAACATTATAATGTTTGAATCCACGCAATTTTAGACGAGGATGATTCATAAGCTAACTGCAATAGCGACGATAATGACCGTGGTGTGTATCAGGCAACTTCCTATATCTCTTGAGATGTTTATATGCGAGAAATTTAATTATATTAGTATACGTAGCTTAATAAAATGTAAATATCGATAGTTATATCAAAATAAGTATTGGCTAGTTCAATTGTACGAGGCTTTCAGAATAGTTTTATTCTAAGCTAGGTCTTTGTGTAATAATCACCACGTCTCTTGAAGTTGAGATAAACCAGGCTTTTTATGAGTTCGTAAAGTGACACCTCCCTGGAAAGTAGATGTGTCCAAGCATTGTACTTTTCTTATCAAAGTAATCCGATTATCAAAGAATTTGTTTATGTCTTGGGAACCATGAAGCAGTCGCTAGCCTACTGGGAAGGAGTATACTCTACAAAACCAACAGGTTCCAAGTAGAGCTCCTTACCAAAAGATCAAGCAATCAGAAGGATTTAGCGAAAACTCATTCCCTCTTGATCAGTCACGGATTCTGGGCGACTGTAACTACCCGTCCGCCATTAGAACTTTTTTACTAACACGATAACTACCTATCCGCCATTAGACTTGTAATAATTAGTTATTTAACTTACGTAATTAATAGTATAGCTAGTTTTCTCTACCTAGGGCTAGCTCTTGCTAGTACGCGGGTTAGGGTTAGGGTTAGTAGAATATTAATATATCTTTACTCTACTATTTACCTAGAAGTTAATAATTATTAGACTTCTAGGGCTTAGAACTCTCTACCCCCTTAGGACTTATTTTACCCCCCCTAGAATTTAGATTACCTAAGAATCTAGTATTATTTATTAGGGCTTAGTATACCCCCTAGGGCTTAATATATTCCTTATAGTTTAATTTACTCCCCGAGGATTTAGTATACCCCCTAGGGTCTATGACCTAATATAACCCTTCCCTTCTCTATAGATAAGATAGTCTTAGTATAGCGTACCTAAGTACGGAGGAGGAGGGTATCGCGAGACTCTATAAAGTAAGATAAAGGAAAATACAAGGGTTCAGATTAGGTGGTCCTTGCTTACTAATCACTTCCTCGATGACTTAGTCCTAGTCCGGAAGTAGGATTTCTAGCCTTATATTATAAGTATGCTATTAAAGATATTTTTCCCTAGGTTTTAACGCTCTATTCTATTCTAATTCTCTTATTCCGGTACGATTTAAAAATACTTTTTGTTTTATAAAAAATTTAATTCTAATGGCGGACAGGTACTGTAGTTCTAGGTTTCCATACGGATTCTTCAATTCTTGCCCCCGCTATGCTTTTTGAATGGGTTCAAACTCCCCCACTCTAAGGCAACAACATTTGTCGCTCACGACCGTAAACCCCACAGTAAGCACGCGCCAATTGTGATAAGTGACATCAACAAGACAATTAAGGATAAAACCCATAATACCTTTACTGATGCCTCTCAGAGGGCTCAAGCGCAAGAGAGAAGATAGGCGAGATTGTACGTCTTCGTCGAGTCGGTGGCACAAACTCTCATGCAAAAGCCCTCAGGTCGTTATTGACGAGGCCACCAAATATCCACGATGCAAGGGCTGCAAAAGCGTTTTCAGCGCTCCTCAATTGGAGCAGTTCATTTCTCAACGTCGAGTTTCTGCCGAACAGCCTTGGTCACCACCGCCAGACAAACCATTGGGGGAGTGGAATCTTTCGTTGCCTCCAAGCGTTCGATATACAGCGGGCAGTCAACCCGCACTCGATATCCAGAATACTGTCTCTGTCTTGGAAGGAGGTCAAATTGAAAATCAATCCGTTTACGAAAGAACTTTAGAACCTAACGAAATTCGGCTAATTTCCATCTCGCCCTCTCAGCAGAAAGATCATCCCTTACATGCTTCTCTCGAAATCTGGGAGCATCAATATTGCCCAAAATATGAAACTGCTTCCTACACATGGGGTGGGGAAGATGATGATTCTCGCCGACATTATCCAATTTACATCGGCCGGTACTGGGATGTTATACTTCAAACTCGAAATTGTTTATCGATGCTTCGATATGTTCGCCAAAAGAGAGGATTTAGAACCATGTGGGTGGATGCTATCTGTATCAACCAAGACCATGACATGGAAAGAAAAACACAGATCTCTAAGATGAGAGATATCTATCAAAAATGTCTTCGTGTTGTAGTTTACCTCGGAGATGATATTATCAAAGAGACCTCTGAGGTGTACAGACCTCGTCAACCACTAAATGAAATTCTGGCAGACTTGCTCAAAAGAAGGTACTTCGGCCGAGTTTGGATCGTTCAGGAACTCATCCTAGCTCCTTGTTTAGTAATTCCAATGGGAGAGATTGACTATCTTGCTCAAGGCCTCACGTCGTCTCAACTGTCCAATGACTGGAGCAAGACAGCTGCATCTTGGTTGGCCAATATGGGGCAAGGAGCAAACTTCATGAAGCTCAAGATTACGGAAGCACTACGACAGACTTGGCATTCAACATCTGCAACAGATCGGCGGGACAAGATTTTTGGTCTCTTAGGACTTGTGGATTACATTACGAATGGCAACCCTCACAACTGCCTGGTACCAGAATATTCGATATCTTTCGTTGAGGCATTTATTGGCATTTGCGGCTACATACTCACCACTCTTTCCGATCCTATTATTCTGCGAAACTGCTGGAGCTGTCGCTCTCAGTGCGTGTCGTTGCCATCTTGGGTACCAGATTGGAAGTCTACCTCGATATGGAATCCTGAGCCATCTTTTCCCCATCCCAGTTTTAGATACCTTTTTTATGACAGCGACCCGATCTTTATGATCTACTCAAAGGAACTTCGAAACATAGATCTCCTCTCATCTTATCGTCGGATTCCGACAAAGGTCCCTTGGAATCAAAGTGTCTCGATTGATGCATCGACCGGTGCACTTTCTATTGAAATGGTACACTTAATGACGCTCTCTGGAATTAAGATGGGTCGAACTATAAAGAACAATTACACTGGTCTGACTGCTTTTCAAGTATTTGGAAGAACGGCTTGTGTGCATTTTTGCACGGCAGAGATCTCACTCAACAAAGTCATCAATTGCCAAGATATTTTCTTGATGGAAACTGGGGTGAAGGACGATATGCTATTATTCTTTACGAAGAGGAATGGTTCAAACGATTCACATATTATTGTCGTCTCTTGTCGATGCTATGTAATCTTTCTATCCGCATTAGAGGGCCTTCGAGCAGAGGATCTTCGAGAAGATGACCTTCAATCGGATAACCCTCTTGGACTAAGAGAAGACTGGTTCATCTCGGACAAATTTGGAGTTCCTAAAGTTTGTCCTTATCTTGGCACTGGCATGGGCCTACTTGAACAGGATCTGACAGGCACGAAAATATATCTGGGACTCTATAGTGTTGCTGATATCAAAGCTCTATACTTTGGGAATTTAGATCGAGACTTCAAGCTGGGGTGGAACTCTGATGGCAGTCCATATGATGAATACATGATTTCGTGTCTATCGTCTGGACTTACTGTTCGTGACGTTTTGCCACTGCTTCATACTATGTTAAGCGAAAAGGCGATTCATGATGGAATGACTGGCGCCTTCGGACAGAAATGCCTGTCATTATTTCAACTGCATTTTGGCAGATTTGAACCGAGTATTGAAGAGGGGGCTATTGTACTTCGATACACGGAAAATCAATTTAGGGAGCATCAGGAGAACCAAAAGGAAAGGCCCCATAATCCCTACACAATAAAAGAGTACATCCATTTTGCAAAGGGATGGGAGATTAGACGCTCAAGAGACTTGAAATGGTCTTTCTTATCTGAGCTTGCTGATGGCCCATGGTACGGTGAACCGTGGCTATTCCAAATAGCCCTAGAACTGGAGGCGTCAGAGCTAGTGTTTCTCAGGGCCCCTCTAGCCAACATTCGTGACCGAATGATCAAGACCGAACTTTTCAAGGGTTTATACTTCCTAAGCAAATTTCGCGGTAGTGTTGGAGAAAGCGAGCTTGAGATGGCATTGAGTGATATGAAACCAATCTATGAGAGTACTCAAGTTAGTCGCTGGCCAGAATCTGCGAAGAGGGAGTTGGGGTTTGATTATTCTCTTCAGACGATTACTATTATATGGAAATGCTTCTCTAGGAAATACTTAAGTATAACAGACATGGTCGTTACTCTGTATACGTCTCTCTCAGAATAACATTATTCTAAAAGCCTTGTATAACTAAAATAGTTATACAAGGAGTTAAGAATAATTATAGCTCTTCTTTTTGATTAACATAAGTATACCAATATAACTATTTCACTTAATCTAAAAGTCTAGTATAATAACTTTTTATATAATATATACAAAGTAATAACCAGGCACCCACTAAGAATGAGTTCTATGAAGATCCTTAGTTGCTTTAATTACCTTAGTTGCTATATTGTCCCTATAGAACAACTACCTAGCTTATTTTCAGGCATAATTAGACCCGAAAATCGTGAATTTACTTTTTCATATCGGTAGTAAGGTTATATTATAAAGGCTTTATGGACTAAGAAACGACCCTTGCTTAAAGCGGATAAACGAACCCTTAGTGAACTAGTCCCCAAATCAACGCTCTTGTATCCTAGGCTTTCTAAGACAATTCCTGTAATTGTTCATGGGAGTTTCGAATAAATATTGCGATCAGTCAAAACAATCAGTATACTGTATATTTTCCTACCTCCTTATTCCCAACTGCGCCCCCTCTCTTCTACCCCCACAGAACAAAACAGCGCCAGAATACATCTAACAAAAGGCTCAAGAGCCACTAACGGCCAACTCAAGCTTTGACCCACTTCACATCACGCCCCCTGGCCCACAAGCCGCAACCTGATTCGTCGCACAACGCAAAATACCCGTAATTTAAGCGAAAATTGTATTTGTATCCAAATACCACAACCTCCATCGTCAAAACTGGTACCTACCCGCCTGGCCCAGTCAGTTAGTGTGTGATCAAATCCATAAGCGCCACACACACTAACTGTTGCGCATGCAGATACGTATACGAGGAAGTAAGACAATCGTGTCGGTGGGGCCCGACACTGGAGAAAAAATCAAAAACTCAGTTCGTCTGGTTATTGAACCTGGTAGGAGGTGTTTTTTGCCGGTTTTCCCCTTTTTATTGGGGATTATATTTAGGTACGTGGTGGTGGGTCGCCTTGAATCTTACTTTCTTTTTGCGTGGATGGGTGAATGAGAGGGCTATTTATCGCGCGTCGCTTGTTCGCCTCTTGAGACTGATTTGGGGAAACGTACTAGGCGCCAACATTGACCCCTATCCTGATACTGTACAACGAAGCCTTCTATATCACGAGATTATCTTGGAAGATACATATGAGCTCTTTAAACAAGCGATCTATTCTTGTTTACAATCTCGTTGTTTTTACCCAATTCCGGAGTAGCTAGATCAAAAATTCACCTCACAGCCCTCGCTTAAGCTATCATTCCCACCACCACCTACACCAAACCAAGAGATCTTCGCGTTTGGTCACTAGATTCGGGATTTTGCCGCTATGACATACTGTCAGGTTATTCAGTTTCAAATTTCCATATAAGAACTGTTAAACATGCAATAATACAGGATCAAAGAACCAGAGTCCCAATCCACCTCATTCCGACCCCATTCTTCCTCCACTTCATCTCAAAGCTTCTACTTGCTCTAAGCATACTTCCCCAACAAATCAATATAAGCCTCATAAACCTGCCCACTCGGCGGCTCAAGCTTATACACATAATCATCCTTCCACAACGCACCACCACCCCACCAGAGCGCCCCCATCCACACATCATTAGCAGCAACCATAGCATCCAGCATCCCCATCACAGCCTGCTTACATTGAGAATTCGCTCCACCAGCGTACCCCCCGATGACTCCCTTCTTGCCGTTCTCTTTGAGCCAGGCTGTTGCTTTGATTATACTATCTTTACCGATGGTGGTGGATGCGCATTCGGCTACTTTCCCGCCGGAGTTGGGGTCGAGGTACTGGTGCATTTCGTAGATGATTTTGTTAGAGGGGTCGGTGAGGGATTTGAGGGAGTCCCCGTTTCCTGATTTTACCCAGCCGCCTGCGCTTGTCCAGACCTAGATGATATCAGCTTTGTTTTTATATAGATATAAGGTTTGGAGGGTAGGAACGTAATCTTACATTTCCTTCCACAAAGATATATTGTTTGCTCGCACCAGCACCACGAATACCATCAATACAAGCCTGATCCAGCTGGGCAACAAGCGAGTTTTCCATATCGTGAAACTCGTTATTACAATCAAAGATGGTTTTCTCATTCCCCGCAAACTCCTTAGCGAGGTTTCCCCAGAAGGTCTTGAAGTCTGCTGTTGAGGTGATGATGTTTCCGTGGTAGCGACCATAGTTGTGAGCATCAATCACGGCGTATCCGCCCTTCTCGGTAATGAATGAAACGACTTTTTTCAGGTCGGAGAGATATGTAGTGTCTAGTTTTGCGTTCAGCGATCCGGATGTCATGCGTTCAAGTAAGAATGGGATCCGAAAGGTGTTCATTCCTTTCGACATCAGTGTGCCTATTGAAGCCGTGCTGGGCCATTGGTACGTTTTCCCTGCGATACCTGGGAAGACAGTTTCCCCAAACTCGGCGCCCGCTTCGTTGACACCGAAGAATTTGAATTTCCCGGAGGATTTGGCAGTGGGTAATACGGCGGAGACGTTGGCAACTGCCTCAGAGGGTGCTGTTTCTGATGGAACTGAAATTGAAATCATGGTGTTTCTTGACGGTTGTGGGATTACAGTCGTTGGCTGGGGAGCTAGAGTCTCGATTGAAATCAAGGGTCCGCCTGGGTTTATGGGAGGGGAAGGGAGATTCAAGACTGTGGATGTAGAATTTACAGCATGACCTGGGTTGCCGACATGAGTAGGTACCCACCCACAATCATCGTTGGAATCATCTCTCTCCACAATCGGAGCTGCAAGTGTCGTTGCTGTCAAGCCAGCAGCGAGGATGGTAGTTGAAAAACGCATGGTTGTAAAGACAGACTGAATGAGAAGTGACTATGAAATATTCGCACCAAAAAAGAAAAGAAGGAGAATGTTGATGGATGATCGAAACAAGAAACGAGGAAAATGCTAAGTCTTATTTAAAGCTGTTGAGTTTATTTTTCTTCCTTCCTTCGCTCGTAAATCCTTCATCGTAAGCTCTCACTCCTCCATCTCGCTTCAAAATTGCCGGTATGTGCGAGCCCGACTCATCCAGCAAATCTAATCCAACGTCTCTAGGCGAATCTTTTCCAATCAGAAATGTATATCACAATCAATCCTCACGACCTATCGAGTAGGACGCGAATTAACGTGCATCTTCAAATTCCGACTAACAAGCCATATTAAGCCCAAGTATCGCATATCATCCAGTGGTTTCAGCGTACGCTGCTTATGGGATAAAATTTTCGTAGGACCGTGGCTTGCATGTGTGAAATTTGGGGGACGTCAGCTAGCAATTTCAAGTGTTCGGCACCCTCTTTAGGTGGGTTGTGCGACCCGGATGAAGGATTCGAACGAGATATGACGTGGCTGATTAGCTACGAATCCGATCTGAAACAGGGATTTCCATTATTTCTTTGGCTTTGTAGATTTGTTCCTTTACTTGCGTATCTAGGATACTGTTTATCAGAACGATTGTTCTTGTTTGGAATTACTGTACCTGATGGGACCCACTCAATCCTCGCTAAACTCTCCTAGCTACTTGTACCTTTAGAGACTGTCTACAAACGTCGTTCGCACTCAAAACATGGATCCAAGGAGACGCAGTACTAGATAATAATTCCAAGAATGTATAAGAATGGGGCTATCAAATTCTCGCGGGCTACCGATATCAATTCCAATTTTTAGTACTTCCTCGCATCGGATTAAGCACAACCAATTCCACTCCAATTCTTACTTCCATATATGACAGACCTGCCTAGGTTTTTCCAACAAACTATCAGATCACCTTTATGTTCCTTTCATTCTTTCAAGATAACAACAACATTCTATAAACGCTAACCTAAGACTCTCCTAATACAAGTTCTGCAGCCCCATCGCTTAGAAAGTAAGGTTGTTATGTGCTCCATCGTACACCTCCTGTAGTTATCAAAGTCACTTTCCAAATCACTGTAAAAGAATCCCTCCATCTCATCTGATATATCTATTGTATGTTGTATCATTGAGGAATTCAATCTCTAGCAGAACCATAATCCTTGAAAGACCTTTGCCTTCTTATTATATTCACGCAGTGTATTGTATTTTGAGTGTCTCTAATATGCGAATATGAATGTTTTAGAGCCAACTTTTACGTCCCTTACATAAAATCAAGGGAAGGAGAAGAGGGTTGAGTTTGTAGGACGATATAAGATCCGAAAGTTATAGAAAGGAGAGAGCGAACCCGCTTGAAGTAAAGTATTTGATTTTTGGAGAATCTTCTTTTAGGTATCTCTTATCTTTTGCACACCTCACAGTCTAAAATCTAGAAATCTAAAGCTATACAGTACCACAAATCCCATCTATATCCCCCATCATCGAACCCCATCCACCAAAATCTCCCGCCTCCCTCTTACACCGGTCACACATACAAAACCCCCCCAAACTACCCAACGCCCACTCCCTCCTCTCCTTAACCTTCAGCTCCACATCCGTATAATGATTCAAGATCTCCTCTCCCTTCCTCACCCCCCCCTTCTTACCACCAATCCGTGCCGTTCGACACCAGAACTTCATACGCGCCCCCCATTCCCACGACACATTCGGATCACAATCGTGATTCGCAAGACACCAAAGCGGATGCACAGCCGCCACCTCAGGATGTCCCGTTTTCTTATTGACCCTCGCGGATGCCGTGCCCCGGAACTTCGCGTACAGCGTGTTGAAGATCCAGAGATCGTATGAGTCGATGGAGGCGAAGACGTCGATCTCCATTTTCTCGAGAAGATGCAGTGGTCCTGAGACATTGCCTGCAAAGGAAAAGGGGAGGGTCCAGATAGGCGGGGGTTCAGAGGAGGGAGATAATGGGACCGCGTTGACGGAACTAGGTAGGAAATCGCCCCATATGTATTTCACCTCTTTGAGGTCAAGGGGATGTATGGATTGGGTTTCGGACATGGCGAGGGCTCGCCCGAGGAGGAGGAGGTAGAGTGCGAAGGGCTTTTCGGCTGGGTCGGGGTCCTTTGCTATGGTGTCGAGGTCTTTGTCGCAGACGGCTGGGTGGTAGGATTCTTGGGCTAACGAGAGACATTCTTGGTTGCAAAACATGATGTCGTCGCAGTCTGGACATGCTACTACCTCGCTATCCATTGATAATCCAGGTAGGGAGGAGCTGCATGCGTCACAGAGGGATTCTTTTAGCAGATTATTTGCAGCAAGAAGAGAAATTTCATGGAGGATTTCCTCGCCAGGTTCTATATCCTCTTTTGCAAAGAGACCGAGTTGTTTAATAGTTGGTGTGATTCCGAAGTTATCGCTCTCCTTGTATGCCTCGAGAAGAATTGGCAATTCCGTAACCCTTACTTCCAATTTTGGGGCACAAACCGACAATTCCTTACTCAGCGTATCTAGAGACTCTTGGGAAAAGCGATCGGGTTCGTGCGTATTCCATGGATATGCCTCGCGACGAACAACTCCCTGATCCGGCAACGAGCTGATATCAACTTCATCCACCTTCAATCTCCTCTTCGCCATGAGCAAAATATAATCCTTCCTATGCTTCCAATACCCATCGTCTTTCGCAATAGCCAGCCCTCGTAAACAAAAATCGTAAGCGCTCTTCAAACATCCACAGAGCAATAAATTCAAAGCCAACCCACGATAACATTTTATCGACGCAAGCCTGACAATCAACTCCCTCCTCCCCTCCTCCTTACTCCCCGCTTCCGAGGACTCCTCTCCATTTGTAAACCCGCCATTGATATCGCCCGACTTCGGCATCTCACCCAACCCCTCAGACCGATCCTTATAATCCCCCTTCCACTTCAACATCTCGGGAACCTGCCATGCCTCTCCCTCTCCATTTCCCTCTCCACTCCTACACTGCTCCCTCAGCGCCTCAACCGCTTGCTCATGGTACTCAAACCCCTCATTCGCAACCTCATCCGTCAGCAGCAGCGCACGGTAATAATCGCCGACCGCAAGATCAGGATATCCCAGATCAGCATGGACCTGCGCGCGTTGGATGTAGGTAATCAAATCGTACGGTTCGCTCTGGAGGGCTGCCGTGAGGGTGGCGCGTTTCTTGAGTAGAAGGTGGGTCTGGTCCTCCTCGGTGGTGTTGGACATTTTGAGGTCATGTTCTAGGTTGGGTGTAGTGTACTGTTTTCGCGATGGAGGGGTTTTATTTTTTTGCGAATCGCGGGGCAGATCGGCGGACCCCAGGTTTGGACCCCTCCACGCGACTCCAAGTTTTGGACTCGCTTCCTTGGAGTTGGACTGGTTCTGGAACCAATGAAATTGATGCTCAGGTATGATTAACTTTCCCCGATCATTTCATTTGCGCTCTTTCAGGCCTCGATTTTCCTTCCATGCTCCACCTATACACCATACAAACTCGTACCTGTATGCATGTATGATGATGTAAGGTAGGTATTATTTTCCCTGGAAAATCTTCGGTCACCCTCGGCTCGAGCCCTGAGAAAATTTCCTAGCTCCCGTTAAACAAGCAGTGACAAGATGAGTGGCAGTCTCGGCGCTAGAGATATAAGTAAACCAAGTACACAAAAACACAGTGCCAAGACCACCACTTATCTTGTTATAGCTTGTCCACCGGGAGCCCAGATATTGAAGAACACATTCGAGTTCTCCTGACTCGTTTGGTTGAAGTTGTCATGTCTTCTGATCTATTCAGAACCAAGTATCTAGTCTATCTGGTCTATCTTTGTAACTGTAACTCCAAATGCAAAGCATCGTCAAGATCAAAAAGCTCTGCCTATTGAAATCAACTTATCCCATCAAATCACTCAACTTGTCGACATAGTAATGTGGTCTAACCGGCGCATCGTCAACTTCCCACTGCTCTTTCTTGGAAACACCCGTCAAGACAGCTAGGGTCCCTCCAAGCTTGCCTTCTAAACCGAATTTGATATCGGTATCTAGTCTATCTCCAATCATACAAGCCTTCTTGCGATCAAATTGGAACTTCCCTTCGATAGCATCCATCATGGCTTGACTTGGCTTGCCTGTGGAAAGGGGCTGTTGGCCTGTCATGTTGACCAATGGAATTGAAATTGAGCCAGCTCCGGGGAAGAAAGTTTTGGCTGAGGGCAAAGTACTATCGGTATTGGTAGCCAGAAATTTGGCTCCTCGGGCGAGGTATTGATATCCCAGAGCGAGCTTAAGGTAGTTTATGTGGAAGTCCAAACCAGCCAACACAATTCCGACATTCTCGTCCAGCATCGAGCCATTGGCAATGTTTGTATAGTCCTCTGGGGTTATATCCCGTCGAAGTGCTGGGTCTGTTCCACCGAGGAACTCTATGCCTTCTGACTTCAATTCGGTCTCAATACCGGCCTCTCCAATGATAAACACCTTGTTTTTTGGTGCAGGAAGCTTCAAGATCCTCGAAATGTAGATAGCGGAAGAGTATGCGGAAGCGAATATTTCTTCCTCGACACTAGGTATGCCCATACTGGTGAGTTTCTTTAGGTAATCGGCACGGGACTTTGTCGAGTTGTTGGTAACGAAGACGGTTTTTTTCCCTTGTGATAATCAGCTTCGTGGAACAATATGGTTGACAAATGACCGGTCTACCTTTAGATCTCAATAGCTCCAAAGTCTCGACTGTTCCGGGGAATAAGTGATCGCCAGACCATAGGACGCCTTTCCATTGATATTAGCACATATGCAGTGCTTCGTGAGATGCAAACGTACCATCGCAATCGAACAAGAAGACCTGTGTCGTATGTCAGTGGCTCTCCGGGAATGATCGATAAGACTCGGGACTAACTCAACGCACGTCAAATTGGTTGATGAACTCATCGATGGAGGCTTGGTCGCCTGTGAGGTGCTTAGGAAGTGGTGCCATGTTGGGGATACTGCAGAAAGTAGATTGTACGAGTATTTGGACGAAACTTAACCACGATTGGGTTGAGTTGAGTACTAGTTGGTTCTTGAGTATATAAAATTAATTCTTATAAGTACCTAGAGATGGTTAACTTAGGTGTCTGTTGATTATGTAATAACTTTTCGACCAATCAGAGAGATTATATTCTCTCTTTCCGATTTTTCGACCGAACCAAGACCAGTGGGGTCGAGTGCTCGTCAAGCCAAGGATGAAATCAGATACCCGAGGGAGGGGTAACTTGAGGGGTCATCAATTCCCTGCCTAAGGAGGAAAATCATCAATAGTAGAAGTTTTTATTGTTCTCACAGAGAATTTCAGCCCAGCGGATGCAACTACTTCTGTGATGACAATATGTTTTTTGATTGTGCTCACCTCACAGAATCCATAATTCCACCAGTGGTATGCAGAGATTCTGCAGCCTCACATATCGACGACGGCTGAATTGATGTCGTACGGTGTTACGCGGCATCAGATCAACAAAACTCAATATCACCAAGTCCTGCCAGTGGTTTCCATGTTCAGTACTGATTTGATGCTGCAGAGATTTTCTGCCGGGCCGAAGCGTGAAAAGGTTAGCAAGCCGACACCGGATGAACACAGCGAACTACTATCACCATGTCGCGGCATTGACGTATCACATATCACATGCAGCGTCAAGAAAAGGCAGTCCGAGGCACAGTAGCATTGGCATTGGCAGTTCAGTATTTATTGAGGCTATCACGGTTGCTCAAAGAGGGGTCCATGGCCAGATGGAGACGATGCTGGGGACGATCCATGGGAGCGCTCCGAGCAGTTTCCAAGTCCAGACACCAACACCAAAACATGTCGATTGAACACCCGCTGTGCAGTTGAAGCATCAATACCAATTTAATCGACGGAACCTCTCCATCAAGCCGCGTGGTGAAGAAGGTTGTACAGCAGCTTGAAACATCTGCATGTGTGGATGTGGTGTTATGTACTCGTCAAGCTCAAGGCACGGGATATCCCGTTTGCACGCCTACGCCTTTGCCCGCCTTGGAATTCTTCAACATGGAATGGGATGATAATATGAGATACCTCCAGCAGCCATTATTGGAACGGAACTATGGCTTATTTGGTATAGTGGAGTCTTTTGCTTGTTTGTGTCGGCAACAATATATATAAAACTGTTGTCAGCAACCTTTTTCACCAAGGCTGGCCTTAACCTCAACCCTACCCCCCTTTTCCTTTCCCTCGCTACAGCAAGTCGTACGTGCTCATCCTCATCCACTTGGCCACATCTCCAATTCACACCTCTCCACCACTTCGACCACCTTGCCCTATTCTCTTCATCCGCACGACTTCTACTTGACGCGGTTGTTGAGTGACACAGGAGAAGCTAAGCAACCGGCAACGGAACCTTCTACTCTAATAGATTGCCGACAAGGTAATACCTGCGCACTTGGGTTTGCATTCCACTCAACCCGACAATCTTATCGCCAGGACGGGAAGTGCAGTGCAGGCAGTGCTTCACGATACCAACCCACGTAGGTACAGTACAAACCCACACCACTCGATCGGGCAATGACGCGCCCCCAATAATCTCAACCCCTCCGACTTCTCCCCCTCTTATTTTCCCTTTATCCACATCGCATCATCCCCCGACCTCGTCACCGATTCGATCTAACAATTCCGTTCAACTTCAAGGTTGCCGATACCGTAGCACTACTCGTACCAGTTTACCCCACCATCCCACCAAGCCCAACCCACCACCACCCATTCGGCGCGCAATTCCCAAACCTCACACGTAAAAAAATAAATTTCACTTCTGCAAAGTTCGCCATCATGGGTAGACAACCTAATCTCCTCGCCTTCCCCAGCGTCGATCAACTCGCGACAACACTACGCGCCTACATCCTCCAAGCCCAAGCCGCAGGTCTGAACCGCCACGAGCACTTCAAAATCGCCGTGTCCGGCGGCTCGCTCCCAAAGACGCTTGCGAAAGCCCTCCTCGCACCAGCGAGCGGTCCCGAAGACAAATTGCAGTTCGGAAAATGGGAAATTTTCTTCGCAGACGAGCGGGCGGTCCCTCTCACGCACGAAGACTCCAATTATGCCCTCCTTAAAGCCGAGTTACTCGATAAGATTCCCCAGGAGCTGGGCCAACCGATTGTTCACACGATAAACACCGATCTGTTGAACGATGTACAAGAGATGGCAGACCAATACGAGAAGCTCTTGGTGAGCAGTTTCGCACAACGGGATAGTGTCAAACTACCCATCTTCGACCTGCTACTCCTTGGTTGTGGACCAGATGGACATACCTGCTCGCTCTTCCCCGGCCACGAACTTCTACGCGAGACCAACTGTTGGGTTGCGCCGATTGAGGACTCGCCTAAGCCACCGCCAAAGCGAATCACCCTCACTCTGCCAGTTGTCTGTCACGGTGTTCGAATCGCATTCGTGGCAACGGGTGGTGGGAAGAAGGAGATCATGAAGGAGATCTTTGAAGGTAATGGGGGCTTGCCTTGTGCGCTTGTTAATGAGGGGGGCCAGGAGAGGGTTACTTGGTTCACGGATACGCCGGCTGTGGAGGGAGTCAGCTTTCCAAGGAGGGGAAGTCTATGAGGACTTTATGAAATGAAATGAATGGGCACTGGGATTTTCTTCTTCTTCTTTTTTTGTTGCTTCTTTCCTTCTGATGATGGCTTCTTTAGACTAGATGGGATGGATGTAGGAGTGTAACCAGTCACTTCCCAAATTTCAGTTCTTTATTATTCTCTTCTTCTACTACTCGAGGGGACTTCTACTTTTAACTACTTCGAGAGAGCTTTCTTAGGGCAAATACTTTCTCTTTTATGGATTTGGGGGTGGGGGAGGGAGTTTATTTTTCGAAAGAGGTATGCCAATGAGGAGAATGAAAAGGGAAGTAATACTAGGGAGTCATGGCTTCATGACTTCACAAAGTAATCTTGATATGAAACCTGTCCCTTGCTCTTCCGGTATTTTACTCTCAGTGAGTCGTGACCATGTCAGGACATATCACCTGTTGCTACCCACATGCTTCCTCTAAAATCGTCGATAACACCACCGAAAGAATCCCAAGGGACTTAGTACCGTCTCGAGGATAACAGGAACTATTCATTTGCCTTTATTTAAGGGTATAAGCGAAGTGCTCCTCACATAACGACTTGTCACTCTGCCTACCTCTTTCACTTGCCCTATTTGTCCTTAACCCCCATGAAAGATGGTTCGTAGCTCGCTGTTGACTCCTCGTATAATGCTTTACACTTTGGCTATAATACTTGACAGCTAACCACATGAGGGAAGTGGGTGCCCGCGTTACAAAGTACTAAAAAACACTAAGTGGCCTTATTAAAGTATACACCTAGGTAAGACGTGACGCGACAGTGAGGTTTATATTCTACTAACCCTAAACCTAACCCGCGGAGTACGAATTGAAAGAGTACAAGGGCATAGTAAGGGTACGACAGTCAGAGTACAATGGTAAGGGTGCGAAAGTAAGGGTAGATGTGAATAGTTTCATGTGTTACCTTAAAATGCTACGAGGTTTATGTACACGCGTTTCCTAATCACACCCAAAACATAGCTAAAGTGAAAATGCTAAGTCACTACCTATAGGAGTCGCGGAACGCCCCTTCTTCCTAAACGGGTTAGCTGTCAAGCATTATAGCCAAAGTGTAAAGCATTATAGGAGGAGTCTCTCTGTTGAGATATGGGTTTCGCGAGAAGTTTGGGTAAAATCTTACTTTAAATTTATCCTAGGTCTTTGGTATGAATTGGGTAGTTGGACTGCATGTGAAGAGGTCGTTTCTTCTCTTTTGCTTTGCTTCCTTAGGAGGGTAGGGATAGTATATAGAAATAGTAAATCATATATATAACGATATACAATGCTATCTTACTTCTACCCAACGACAATACCCAGCACTATACCATCCTCTCCACTACCATCACTACCATCACTCAATCGATATCACACCCCCCCACAAACCAAATCACACATGCAAAACAAGTGACTTTATAATATTCATTCATATGTAAATTCATAGTCTTATATACACTCGCCACCACTCATCTAAAAGGGAAGGCTCGACTTGGCTCTCAGAGCCAAAGGAGAAAAAAGGTTGCTTCGGCTAACTCAACGGCCAGGGATTTCTTTCGCTCAAACGCTCGCTGGAAGATACGGTGACGTACGTGAAGAACTTAGGATGACTACTGAACTTAGGATGAATACTCGGCGCCTTGAATCAGGTCAGGTGTGGTGATGGGGTGTTATGGGTCTGAATTTGTGTTTGGGTATTTTGTGAGGTGTTGGAGGGAGGATTGGGTGGCGATGGGAAATGCAGCTGGTGGGATGGTGAGGTCCTGGTAGGGTCGATGTGTGAGCTGACGATTCTATTCCGACAGCCTGAGAGAGCGTGACTTGAATACACCCAACTCCCAATCCCACAATCCACCGTCCTCCAATCCAACTACCAAAAAGCACTCCTCCCCCTCTATCCTATCCTCCACTCTCCCATCATCCCCTTCCCTTCCCTTTCCTCGCATTCCCCATCCTCCCCACAATCCCCTTTTCACACACGAGTCCCCTACTTCGCAGCAACCTTCTTCTTATCTTCCTTCTTCGGCTTCGGTTTGTAATACGGCTTGTTGGTCACATAGTGGATGTAATACGCAATGCCGATGATGGCTTTGCAGCCGAAGAGGACGGCGCCTAGGATGAGGAGGTAGGAGGGGTTGGCTTGGAGGACGGCGGTGGCTTCTTTGGTGAAGCCGAGGAATTTGAAGGCGTCGGGGCCGGAGAAGGCGTTTCCCATTTTGGATGCTGTGAGTGAGAGAGAGAGGGTGTGAGGTGGTGATGTGGTGATGTGGTTGTGGGAGATAGTTGTGGATGAATGGGTGTATTGGGAGTGATGGGATCTGTTCAACAGATTACTCGAGTAAGGATCGAATGAAAATATATAAGAATAAACAATGCGGAAGAAATAAACCAGGATCCCAAGATCTCAAATCAAGATGTTTCCTTGTTGTTGTTATGGTGGTGGTTGTAGAAGTTCTCAATGCAAAGCACGTACTTCAAGCACAAGCAGACAGACAGACAGAGAGACAGAACACGATCAAGAAAACCAGACAGAGAGAAGAGAAGAGGAGGCGAAACTGATTATATCAAAGAAACCCCGTTTTATTTTTAGCCCTTCCATGCCATGCTACTGCTATGCTACAGCACTTATGCTATGCAAACCGTTTTTCCTCCACTTTCTCTACCGAAGTACGGAGGTACCAGTCCTGTATGGATTGTATAGGTGGAGCTGGGTACGCACACCCGGGATTCGCACGGTGTGTATTCGGGATTGCACGTACGTCGTTTCAGAATGGTGTATGTGCGGGTACACCACAGGTAGCGCAAAGATGATCTTGAGCCGCAACCCATGCAGATTCCGCTGAACTCTGTCTCGAAGATCGCGGAAAGGTTCTGCAGAGAAATGGGGTTGCCGTAACTTACTCTGTAAAGTTTGATTGTCGCTGTTGAATATTTTCAGGTGGTCTTTTGTGTTTCTGCGGATTACGGTGTGGTTTAGGGTACTGTACCAGTACTGGGAGGAAGAAGGAGTGGAAGAGAGAAGCGATGAAACAGTAACCAGGTCGTTCAAATCTCCGACGCTCCTCAAACCTTTTTGGTGACGTTGGGCCTGTAGCGAGGATATCACATCACATCACGTTTTCTTGGCCCCAAGGAAATGGTTCGATAGATAATTTACTTACACTGTAAGTCTTACAGTAATGTAGGGAATACTAGTTCGTTATCGAAACCTCATCCTAGAGAATAATGGATATTGAACGACGGTTCGCTTAAAATGTTTCCGTGGGATCTTCTATTGGAAGAATGAGGGTTGGGGTTATATAATTGCCCAGGTAGACACTGTAAATTTGAGTAACACATACATTCAAAGCCTAATACCAACCCGATGAAGCATACCTGGGCATCTACAGTACTCAAGTACCTGATACCTTCTCTATCTACATCAATATAATAATAACGACTACTTGCAAATGCCTAACCCCAATCAAACACCACTCATCCCATCTACAATCAAGCCACCCGACAACATCCAAAGATACCCTCAGCCCTCGCCAAGAGTCTATCACCCACAAAGTCCCTCTCCATGCACCCAAGGAACCACGTACATCTCTCACAGATAAACAAAACAAACCCTCGAACAAGCAGCCACAACCCAACGATAGGACCTCACCAGCCGCTCACTGACCATCACCTGTTCAAAACTTCGATCACTGTACTACTCCAGTCTGTATGACACAACACTGCAAGGACCGCCGCCAAGCCCCACGAGGCGTCTAACGGTTATGGTCGGATCGTTTCGGTTTTGACATCAGCATTTGTGGAGATTGGATGTCGAGGCTTCGTTAGAAGAGATTTATACAGTACCGGTTACTCTAAAATGGATGGTTGATAGGTGGCTATTGGCCCTGTATAGCAAGAGTATGAAGAAAAGAAAGAATGAGGATACGGTAAGATCTATCTCGGCAATTTGTAAGCAGAAATGCCATAACTGGTAATAAACGAAGAGGAGCTCGCTCGCTGTGAAATAAAGGAAATGAAAGACTGTTGAATGGGCTACAATAGCCTAAAGTGGCAGGATAAGAACACGGACCAGGAGCTAGTGTACTGTAGTAGAAGTATATATACGCACTGTAATACAGACTGAATAACAGGCGCGCCTTTACCTGTACACCCCGATGCATTGCTCAAAATAAAACGAACTTTCGCGAGCGCGGGAATATATCTGACAACTATTTCTCAGGGGACTTTCGGTTCTTTTCTTTTCTGTTACCTACACTCCGTATATATATGCAAGAAAACCCCATTCTCGGTTCTGTTCAGAAGCCACGCACATGCATACCATACCAAAAATCGCGCTCCCACCCAGTACCAATGCAAGACTTACAAAAAAAAGCAGCAAGCAAATCCACTCCCAAGAACGCCGTCACAGATGTACATACATACTTAAAACGCCGATGCTAACCCATGAATATGCAATCCCTTCCACTCCAATGGACAGTACCAAGTACAGTCTAGATAAAAGCAAAAACAAAAGAAAGACAAAAAAGAAGTTCTGGTTAATCCCCCAGAATTTTGGTCGCTTGATCCAGTATTGTTTTCCCTGCGAGTCCCAGCGCCTCGACGAGTCCTTCCATTGATCGACTGTTGTCTCTGATGTTATGCAACGCCTTCTCCATCTCCATACATCGATTCCGCAACGTGTTCACCTCTTCCTCAAGAACCCTGACCTTTTCCACATGTCCTGTCTGTGGCTCGGATGTAGACTGTTGGTGTAGTTGTTGTACACCCTCCCCCATCTGTTCCCTACGCAAGCGATCCAAAGCCTCAAACGCGGCTGTAATCCCCTCAGCTTCTTGACTGACCGAGGTATTCGGTGTATTGACGCCCGTCGATATCGAAGTCTCCTTATGCAGACTCCCAATCCTCAACATCTCGATCCTCTTCTCTAGTTCCGCTTTCTTCGAGTTCCAGTTCTTGCGATCCTCGGCTGCCATGATCTCTAGCTGAGTAGCCTTCTTCACCATGTCGACGTATTGATTTACTTCTGCCACTGCCGATTGGCGACACTCGTCTCGGCTTTTGGAGATGTCTTCGATGTCCTTTTCTAGTTCCATGACCTGTGATTGGAGTCTAATTTTCTCTTCCGTCAAGCTGATTATTTCCGCGTCTGAAACGTTGTGTTTCTTCTCCAATGCACTGGCTCTGGTTTGGGATCGAAGGTAAGCTGCAAGAAGTTTGTCATGCTCCGCCTGAAGGGTTGATAAAGCAATCTTCTGTACTGAAACTTCATGTTGAAGAGACGCGGAAAGTGTTTGCATTGCACTGTCGGAATGTGAGCCGCCAATGGGTGGTAAGAAGCCATTAATAGGAGATTGATGAATAGCCGAGGGAGGTGGTAGGTTGACAGGCTGTGAGGCGTTTCCAAATGTAGGTGCTAAAGGAGATGGAAAATTGAGTGATGTTGGAGAAGGGATGGATCGTCCAGGTGGTGATGGCAGTTGGCGGCCTGGCCCATGAGGTGGATTCATAGTTGGAATTCGTGAACCTTCAGATGGCTGGGGCTGATGTTGATCATATTGTGAACTGATGGAAGGTCGTTCCCCTATTCTTGAGGCTCTTTGGGTCGTATTCGCTTGGACCTTAATGTCGAAGGCCTGATTTGGAATATCGTTCTCCCAACGCCGCTTCATATTCTCACCATTGATTCGTTGGTTAAGATTACGGTCTCTTGAAAAGTCGCCGTTCTGGGAGGACAGCACGCCTTGAGGTACATGCCGTACTAACTTATCGGCCAGGCTATTAGCTTGCTGAAGCCTTTCAAGAAGCCAGCTCAACGAAGCAGTCAAGCCGCCTTTGGATGGCAATGGGAAATCAGTAGGGCATACCCCCACCGTCTTTCGTTGGCCGGGGCTCTATCCATATGTGAAAGTTAGTCAAAGGGCCCAAGAGGTTCGGGATGACGGTACATAGCCGCGGGGTATTTGAATGTAAGACTAACCAAACAGGCGACCCTCTGCTCGGAAGAAATACCGGAACCAAGGGTTTCCGCTAGCTGAGTAAGCGCTGCTGCAGCGGCTTGCGTGACGCTTTCGATGCTCTCTCCTGCGGAAGATTCGAGCATATCCACATCTTCGTGCTGCCCAAGAACTTTCTTGCAGCGCCTACATAAATTGGTGGACTCTGGGGAATCCAGCCGTATAACCGGTGGGTGACCCGGATGCTTGCTCATCGTTTCCCACACCACTGGTTTTTGCTGCTGAGCAAAACCAGATGTTGACGGAGGAGGAGGGGGCCAGTATTCTTGATTGGAAGCATACATTGACTCTAAAGAATCAAGTTTGTTAGTCATCAATATATTGTGTGCGTGAGGGCTTTTTTGACTTACGTCTTGCCGGCGAGTGAGGCAGCTGACCATTAAGCTCATAATTTCCACGATGCTCACTGCGATCATATTTCGGTCTTTTGGCCTCCGACTCCGAAAGTTCTCTTGAATAGGGACTATATGAATTGGGCATCTTTTCCACATGTCGATGTGGCGGTACAGCATCCATAGGAGGTAATGGCGCTCCATGCCAGACATTCCCTTTTGATGAAGTTCTTGCTTCATCCCAAGGGCGTTTGTTACCCGGGCGCTCCGACTGCGACTGCGAGCCATCCAGCCCTCGAACATCCATCACCACGCTGTGGATGCCTGTATCGTACTGACCAAGTGTCAAGCAGCCCCATCTATTCGGTGTGTGTCTCCTCCAATTCGGGGTGATAGTAGTATTCCGACGTGGGCGGATACTTTGCTGCGTGGAGATTTGGTAAGTGATGTACTTTTTTTGATATGGACGAGTACATGGTAGAAGAGAAATGGCAAGCTCACAAGATGCCGTGCAGAAGCAGAAGCAGAAGCAGACGCAGGCTTAATGTATAACTGCCGTGCTAGGAATTGACGCTGACCATGTTCATCAGCCCATGTTGTTGTCTTTGCACAAAAGTAAGATCGGTTGGAACTTGGAAATACGGTACGGCCTGGAGCTGGAGCTGTTGTCCTACGGTGTACGTAAATCAGCTAGCTAGAATACTCCATACAGTACGGATATTCGCTGGCCCACCTTTGCAGCCACTGCCGTCGTCCCTAACCTTGGATTGCTGTTGGGGGTCGCACTTGGCAATGGCAGAGGGCCGCAAAGATGGATGATCCAGCAATCGATCATGGAGATTCAACTTTCCAACGCGCATCGAAAGTCCAAAGTTGGCTGACATGCAGCAGGCCATGGTCCCGGCTGCTGCGGGTTGAGGGGCCACACCCACGAGTCTTGGCTCCTTCTTCCATGCGCTCAACATCAATTATTAATAATTAACGTTGCGGATGGTTGCAAAGGCCGATCACAACGCCTCCTGGACGTCTACCGGCCATGTCATTGGACCGCAAACGCTCGCTCGGTGTGGGTGCTACTTGTCAGCAAGCAAGCATACGAAGTCGTACCAGGGTCCATATTATTCAGCGGTTCTCCCGCTTCATTCGGTACATAATCCGGACATACCATCTCTCCTCTCCCAGGAATCGAACCTATGGGAGACGTGGGAGACTTTCCAGAAGAATGTACGACGCAAGACCAACAATGTTCATCGACAAAACCGAGAAAGCATGGCAAGATTCTGACATCGCCACCGCTGAATCAATCCCGCTTGGGATTGTTTGCACAGATGGCCGGCAACTTTCACGGAGTTAAGGCGTTGAGGACTTGTGTGTGCCAATTTCACCACCCAGCTCGCATCTTCAAAAGCAATCGTGCGAATAATGAAAGGATGCAATCGTGATGGCCTCAGGGCTAGGTCGTAGATGACATGCAAACGAAATGAAAAAAGACACGACCGAGTAACACCTATTAAGCGGGCCTTACTGGATTGAGTCCGGTGAAGGAATTTATATGAAGAAAATCTTTGAAAAAGGCGCACAGAGTAAATAATGACAAACTCGGGGAATACGGATGGAATATGCATATAAGACTGAGCAAAGCGGGTAGGGTTGAGATAGGCCGAGAAGCATGGATGCTGATGCTCCCGAAGGATTGGATTCTATTGTCTCTCTTGCCATTAATAGTGACGGAGTAGCTCCAGCTTGTCAAACGGTCAGGAAAATGAGGCGGCCGCTTTTGATGATGTGAAGGGAGGATGAAAAGAACTTCGGCTCAGGGTTCCTAATGGAGGCCTCTACTCTCAGCTGCCGAATCTTTGTCAGCATGTCTATGTTTATGTCTGCTCCCGTCAAATCAAAACGACCTGGAGGCATCCCCCATGAATAAGAGATCCGCTTGATGAACGGCAGCGGCTCATTTCCCGTGATTGAACTACGCGATCTACGTCACAACTTCACAAGGAACGATATGGCAATACTTATATCTTGCGCACTTTTACTCTTTCCGATGCTGAGATCTGTACAGCAGCTTGAATTGGTCAGCTTTCAAGCGACACGGGCTCCGACGCGACAATTTTTCAAACAATGAGGCTCGAGTACGGCATACAATACCTCCCAAGGTCTTTCCTCTGCACCTCAGAGAGTGATAGGGTGGTCGTCTACTCGTACCTTCGTCAGGAGAAAGAGGAGCAGCTCCATGTTGATCTTCACAAGGCCAGCTGGGCGTGGGATTCTTTCCACGATGATCGAGCAGTGTGACCACCGCCCAGGTTTTGTCGGGTTGCCGAGCTCAGACTGGAATTCATCGAGGTCACGCTACTACTTTTGACATTTTATACGTTCTGCTTCTACTCTATATAGCCACTCTTTCTAACTTTATTCGGTTTTATGCCACTACTTTTAGCCATCTTGTTCTTTTTCGGCTCTTTTTCTTTATATATCTATTAGGTTGTTGGTTAGTTGCTACTTGGATATGCTCGTTTTGTTTACTTACTCTCGGCTACAGTAGCGGCGTAGTTGCCAGCACAAAGAATGGTTTCTCTTCGACGTGATCCGAAAGATGACTCGATATGAAAGAGGCAAAATCTTCTCGTGGAGCACGCTGCAGATGGGTGATGCTGACTTCAATACTCCTCCGCAATGACCGCAAACAAATGTCTCCCTTGCCTGGAAACTGACACATGACAACGCACGTGGATTGTCATCTGGCACTGCCCTGTCCTTGATGAGATTAATTACAGCACTGGCAACACACCAGATCTGTAACCTTACGTGTGCGACGAATAAACCGCTCTCGTACCTGCCTCTCCCCTATATACGACCCATGCTGAGAATCGTGAATGGGCGACTGGGCAACTCGGCGGTGACCAATCACCGCCCCGCACTAGCGTTAGCTGGGCCGGCTGTGTGCGTCTGGTCCATGCCCCTCTACTACACCTCGGGAGGTCTTGACAAAGAGCAACGATCTGCTACTGCTCTTCATACAACACAATACCACAACTTGCTCTTTGCCCATAACCACCAAGTAACTAGGATCCATTCACGATAACGCTTTCCCACGAGCTTTCCCCGCCCTCTCCTGAATTCTGGTTGTTCAGGAAGTAAGCGGGAGACGTTCACCCGCATAACTCCCTTCTCCACGTCACCGGTCAGCCTGCCTCTGCCATTCTCGAGTCCAAATACTCGACAGCTTTGCAGATTCCCACCAGAGTCTGCCAACTGTTCCGAACCGGAACAGATTCTTCTCTCGCTTTTTGAATGCCCCCTTCATTCGATCACGACGGAAATAGTAGTCCAAGTGGTACTTCCCCGCCCCGCAAGTCGACTCAGAAAGGAAATATAGGTGGAGGTGCAGCACAAACGAGAAACGGAAAGAAGAATGGGCAAGCGAAGGATGTTTCTGGAGGCGGCGTGCTGGCCGCGGTGACCAAAAATGCCTCCAAGAACTCGTAGGTCTCCCCTCTATACCTGGGGGCAGTCTGACTCGGTGGGGTCAAACATCCAGCTGACTGGCCACCCACAGTAGTAAGAATGCGAAGGTATTCACAACTCCTCCTTCCACTGAATCTCCTGAGTTGGCTCCCGTTATATCCCCACCAGTTGGTCCCCCCTCGCCTCCAGCGGAATCCCTATCTCCGCCAAGTGGAAATCCTGTCACATCCCCCCTGCTCGATGCTCTTTCATCAGCCGCGATAGCCCGGTCCTCAACACACAATACAAACGAATGGGCAAAGAACGTTCCTGCATATTCCAGTTCACCTAGTAATCTTATCAATTTGGGAGAATCACCACCAACCTTACCTTCATCGTACGATGAGAGACTAGCTGGTTTTGGCTGGACAACGAGAGAACAGAGAGGAACCCCGCCGACTGGGCGAATACCGTCGGCGTCTCCTCCTTCTAGAACTCGTCCTCTGAGTTATCATATGGATGGGAATTATCCGCAGCTCTCTGACGATAACCGCGCCCAAATGTCAGCTTATGCTGCTAGACGAAGCTCCATGTATGCCCAACACCCGAGATTCCCTCATCCGCAGCACCCCCCACTTCCTCATCAGGCTCAAGCACATTTCTACGGTGCGCCAGATCCAAATATTCTTCTCTCGCCGCCTGGTCCTGGTCTTACACCTGGAGAGAGTGGATATTATTGCGGGTTTGATAGCGTGTCTTCCTCTCCAGATCCATCTAAGCCGGCAGATAAGGTTATTTTGACTGGTTACGATGGAGGGATCAATATCCATACCGTCACAAAGAGAGGAATCGGTAAACTCTCTACCCTTGACAACCTTCGAGGTGGAGTATATGGAGCCAAAATAATTCCTAGCAATGTTTTGGACGGCGTCTCTAATAATTTCCCGCTGATTGTTCTTGTAATACACGGTCCAGTGTTGAACTCTGGTAGCTCTGTTGATGGAGACGATATTGGAGATGCAGTGTCGGTTGCTCAGAACGAAAGTGTGAGAGGCTCACCAAATATGCACGGCAGACCCATCCTTGAAAATGAACCGCTGGAATACTACCAGACTACAGTAGAAGTGTACTCCTTGGTTACCAAGCAAAACGTGGCGACCCTTTTATCGCTTCCTCAAACGCCGCTGCCTGTCCCAAGCAAAAGCTCATTGTTCAAACCCCCTCCGCCAGTTGGAGCGTTAACTATTCGCGGGGATGCCGCCAACGTCGTGATTGCATCAGGAAATACTGGAGAAACTTGGATTTTCCGGCTCCAGCCGATAGCGAACAGCAAAGCTACTGAATTTAGATGCATCGGAAAAGTATGGACCGCTGTACAGCATGGGATTTCAGTCGAATCCAATGGGTTGAATGGTCTCGCCGATGGCGATTGGTACTCTACAGACACCGTGGAACGGAAGCAGTACAAGGCATCAATTTTGTCGTTAAGTGGACGGTGGCTTGCTTTTTGCCCTTCTGCACCCTCTTCTCAAGTTTCCTTGCGCGCTGTCGTACCCGGCATTTCGCCTCACACGAAAGTTCCTGGCCTCCTTTCCCAGGCTCCTCCACAGCTGCCATCTGTAAATTGTACAGTAGAGACACCTGGAGGTGAGAGTATGGTAAAGCAGATTATGCAAGCTGGGACACAGGCTTTGATCGAAGGAACGTCTTATATCGGGAAGCACATTGGAAAGCAAGGTGCCAATGTTTGGAATTCCTACTGGAACAGAACCTTAACAAATCAGCCAACGAATGGTGGGATCCCTTATCAAACCCAGCCAAATACTGCCTTTCCTCCCACACATGGTGCACCGACACAAGCTCCACCTGTTGCCAAAGACCCAGGGTTGGTGTCAATTCTGGATCTAGAGTTCCTCGCCCATCATTCCTCGTTCTCCGCGTCACCTCACCCGCTTGCAACATTTAAAATCCCACATGGGTGCAGTTTTCTGTCATTCGCTCCTAGTGGTCTAGCACTCTTTACAGCTAGCAGCAAAGGGGACATCCAAAATGTGTGGGATCTCATGCGGATCCAATACTCGAAGTCTTCATTCCTCAAGGGGAACTACCAAGGTTCGGATGTCAGAGGACCTCATGTGAGGCAAATTGCCCAGTTCTCGAGAATGACCATTGCGAGAATCGTCGATGTAGTTTGGGCCTCACCTCATGGGGAACGCGCTGTCATGGTCACAGAACCTGGAACGGTTCATATTCTTGATCTTCCGGCCAGTGCGTTTACGTGGCCTCCACCGCGTCGTAGGATGGCACCTCCAAAATCAGAAGGGGAAACTGCAAGTACTGGTTTTACTGCTTCTGGTGTAGCTACCAATGCGGTCAATTCTCTTTGGACTGCTGCGCGACCACTTGTTTCTCGCCCGCGTCGAAGCAGTGCTAGTATGTCTGCGAAAACTGTCACTGCACACGCTGGACATGGAACACAGGCACTTGCCGCTGGGATCAGTCGCTCGGTCGGGGCAGCAACTGGTAGAATGAACGAAATGCGAAAGGCAGGAAGCACAAAGTTGCATCTTCCACGCAGCACAACGATCCCTAGCAGATGTTGTGTTATTTTGTTGAATCGAAAACAGAATGATTCCGTAATTGTGGTCGCTGGTGGTATAGTCAGACTATACACTATCAAGAATAGAAGAGCAGATCGACCTGCAGACAAACAAAAAGCTTCTCGGGGAGCCAAGTATGTCGAATTCCGTCTCCCTTCATTGCCGTTCCCCGATTACAGTCGCGGACCAGAGGCCCTGCGAGACTTGAATCAAGCTAGCGACCTTGAGCTCACCGAAGGAGACACTGTCGAACGTCAGTGGAAGTCGAAGAAAGTTGTCTCGGAAAGCTATCGGGGAACAGAGTCTTCCATCCCACAGGCCGAGATCGAGTCAAACGCACCATACCAACCATTTCATACAGATAGACGTGTGGCTATGTTTATATACTCCGATATCGATGCATCGGGCTTTACGCCATCTGTTTCTGCATTGCTCCCAAGTGATGCAGAACCAAAGCAAACAGCAAAACCTCAAGCACCTTGGGCATTTGGCCGTCCTATAAACACCATGAAATTAGATGTCGGACCAGCTCAAGTCATGGACGACGACTTGGATTCGATGGTAGAGGATCTTCGTGCGCTTCCAACGTCGGCTATCGAAAGAATATTGAGGGTGAAGGATAGCAACGAAGATATTGAGCAGATTGTAGTGACCACTCGGAGACGCAAGGGTGCCGCTCGCACTGGAAACAACGATCTGGCCGATGCAGACGAGGAGGGATTCTTCGAAGATGATTGCGAGGTTCTGGACTTTGCTACTCAACGAGTCTAATCGCCATCCTTGGTGTACATACACTCTCTACTGGTTCTAGAGCAATTTAACATTGCTCTTGGTGCTTCAAGCCTGCGTTTAGTCCCCTTTCTGATACACCTCTCATCCTGCGAGGGGATTGCATGGCCGCTTTGACGGGCTCGTTTGCTTGGTTCCTTGTCTTTATGACAAAGCTAGCACTATACATCACTACTCGTTTTATGAACGAGATATTATACATAATGAGATTAGGGGATTTTTTCTTTCTTGTTTTACTGGAGTTTGGATATAGAGGAGATGGGGGATTCGCCCGGGGCTTTCGGGTTTTCGTTTGGGTTTGGGTTATGGGTGGGGCATAGTCATAGGATACTGATAGCATGGGTCGATTGATTGAGTGGGTTCGTACGTAACATAGTTGACTGGGACACCATTAAATCCAATAAAGAGGAACTTTTTTTTTTTGAATTAAGTCGAGGTCATGATTTTGGTTGTCTCTTTTGTTAGGGGAATGGGTGATGCGAGGGTGTGTTCCTGTGTACAGTACTGTCATCTTCATCACTATTTATCTCCACCTTTTGATCCAGCCAGTCAGACTACGAATACGAGTACCCATTCTCTTCAATGGGCTTATGGGATGTTTATGAGTGTAATGTAAAATACAAGACTTGGTTTTGGTTTGTAGACTCCGCCTAGAAGTGCCTTTTCCAAGTCAGGATTCCGGTGTTTCCAAGGAAGTAAAAAATTAACCTGCTATCGAAGGAACGGGAAAGGAACATTCTCTTGATGGAATGATGTGGGGTAAGAATGGTAATCGGGGTTCACCGTTTATTTGGCTTGGCACAGTATTGTTCTTCCTCTTTTTTGTTTTTTATTGAGTGATATTAGTGGTGGAGTGGTGGAGTGGTGGTTTAGACTCTAGGGTGTTGTGATGATGCAGAGATGTGATATTCTTGGGGGTGGCGGGGGGAAGGGGTTGTGTGTATTGGCGGGGAAGACAGAGAGAGGGAGGGAAGGGAGGAAAGGGGGTTAAGCGAGAGGGGTTTGGATGTTTTGAGGGCCCGAGAGGAAGGAATTAGGGAGTTGAACAGGGCAGAGGTACAGAGGATTATGGAGATGTGAGGATTGGGGAGTATAAGGGGGTTTGAATGAGTGGAAGGAGGGGGATGTTACTATTTATATCTTGTTGTTGGGGAATAATATGATTAGGCCAGATGAATTGAATAGATCTTCTATTGAATTTGGATGATTGTTCTTTTGAAAAGGGTTTTTGGACTGTATCAGTAAAGGTGCTAAAGCTCGTGAGCAGGCGATTACTGATAAGGTTTGGTAGTGATAAAGCTGGGAATAGCGAATATCGACAAATGAACATGGGAAATATAGACGTTGTTGTAGAAATATCTACTGTACTAATACTTTTTATTTACAGTTTCTACATTGAATAATGCCTTTTATTTACCGGGAGTTACATGATGGTGTCACAGAAGGTTAGGTAGAAATCATGAATCGTGCTCTCGCAGGGGCTTGAAGTCTACAACAAGTTATATCGCAAGCATACCGTCCAGAGCTAGGGCTTTCTTAAATCAGATGTTGAATTTTGAGTACGAGGACACTGTTTAAGTAAAACTGGCAGAATGGGTTAGCCATGCACTAGCACGATCTGATTTGTGACAATTCTGCAACAATAAGGTCTAGGTTGAATCATGATATGAAGACGTAGACTTAGTGTGCGAGAGATGGCACGGATGTATGTGCTATAAGTAGATAGATGATCACAGGAGGGGAGAGAAAGCATTCAGCGAACGTCATCTTATTCTTGCAAACCAGAAAAATGAGAGGAAGCCAGAAAACGAGCGCAGTACGTGAGAAAAGTACGATGACATGTATGTTTCTGCAGCAAGTCTACTGAATTCGGCTTGCAAGAGAGAATCCATACGCAAGCATCGCAATCAAGCCAACAAGATTCGAAATCGAAGACAATCCATGCATCTTTCCAAAAGCTCTGTTGAGTGTCTGCATCTCCTTCGAGTGTGGGGCGGGATCGTATGATTTCTTGCCATCGCGGGTTTCTGCGCCAGACGTGCATTAGTAAAGGCCAAGAGAGCAAACGGGCCAATATCGTACCTTGGATCTTTCGTTCCCTCATGATTCTGGTGGTTTCGGGACCAATGTATACCATGTTGACCAGCCCAGTGATAAACATAGTGGCGATTGGCAGCAACACGCTGTATCGGTTCGATTCTGCAAAGGTTCCTGCGAAACTTGATGAGGGGCCAAGAGGGCTGCTCGACCCAGGGTAGGTCATGAGGAGAACGGCGGGCAAGGCGGTTTGCAGCGCAAAGTAGACGGGGAAGATCTTCTGCTGCAATTGGGAGAACATAGGTCGAGGGAGAGCTCGGAAGGCTACGATTCCATTGACGAAGCTCTGGAAGAAGGTGGTTCCTAGCAAGGTACCATAACTGCGAAGGGTTAATTTGATCCGGCATGCTCGGATGGGAGAGATTGTGCGAACGTGATGATATGGTACGGAGCTGGTGATTTGAATATAGATAAGTCGGGCATATTGGCAGTTTGATCGATCGACGTCTTGTTGATTCGAACTTGTGTTGTTGTTTAACTGAGTTGAGAGTTGATACCTGTGGACCTTCCCGAGGTTCAGTTTGTTCGCGTCATCAGTTAACTCCGTGCTTCGCCCGAGCACTTCACTTACACCTGCAACCCCTGTCTTTGAAAAGCGTGACCTCGTGTTTGACACCTCTGAAGCGCGCGTCTGCCTAGAATAACCCCAATAACCCAATAAAGCTGCCTCCTTCGCGTCCCTTTTTCATACTCAACCATCAATCGTGTCAACTTTGATCCGGCATCATGGCTAACAAGCAAGCAACAGTGTATATTGTAGATCAGGGTGCCTCTATGGCTGAGTGCCATAGTGGTAGAGTGGAAAGCGACTTCGACTTTGCCATGCAATATGTCTGGGATAAGATATGCACAACCATGGCTGCCAATCGGACTACCTGGAGTCTTGGTGTGGTAGGCCTCAGAACAGAAGAAACCGAGAACCTGCTATGTCAAGGCGACGACCCCGACGGTTCCTATGACAATATTGCGGTACATAAGGAACTCGGTCCAGCCACCATGGATGATTTGACGCGGTTGCAATCGCAACTCAAGACCAGCGCAAATGAATTTGGAGATGCACTTTCGGCCGTTGTTGTCGCCATAGATATGATTGACAGATATACGACATTGAAGACCGGAAAACCTGGAAAGTTTACACGAAAGATCGTCCTGGTCACGGATGGACAGGGAGTCATAGATGGTGATGATGTGGATTCGATTTATCAGAAACTCAATGATTCGGGTATTGAACTTGTGGTATTGGGCGTTGATTTCGATGACTTGGAGTTTGGATTCAAAGAAGAAGATAAATCGGAACACAAGGTATGTTACTTGTTTCGTTTGGCTCAAAGTTATTAATTTGCCTCTAGAGAAACAATGAAGCCCTGCTCCAGAAGCTGGTCGATGTATGCAGCAAGGGTATATTTGGTACGGTTGCTGAAGCTGTTGAGAATCTTTCGATACCCGAGTTGAAGCCTACCACGCCCTATGCAAATTACAAGGGACGTCTTTCACTTGGTGATTACGAAGAATATCCTGAAACCGCTCTATACATTGACGTTCAAAGATATTTCTTTACCAAAGCTGCTAGACCTCTGACGGCAAGTAGTTTTGTGGAAATCGTGTCCTCAGGAAACAGTCAACCCACTGCACAGTCTTCATACACGCTCGATGGTGATACGGAAATGGGAGAAGCACCGGAACTTTCAGCTGTCCGAAGTAACATTCGGTATCAAGTGAATGCTGCCAGTGAAGTGGGAGGAAAGCGAGATATTGATCGAGAGGATCTTGAGAAAATTTTCGAGTATGGTCGAACAGCAGTTTCCATCAGTAAGAGTGATGAAAACGTCACAAAGCTAGAAACAGTCACAAGCTTCTCGATAATTGGGTTCGTTCATAGTGATACGGTATGTATTTCGTACGAATTTCGGAGTAAAACTAACTCCCAATAGTATGAAAGATACCTTAATATGGGCGAATCTTGCATTACCGTCGCAACACCTACCAATGAGAAAGCTGTTTTGGCATTTTCATCTCTCGTCCAGGCGCTCGAAGAATTGACTTCGTGTGCTGTGGCGAGAATTGTGACCAAGGAAGTCAAAGATCCGTCCATCATCCTCCTTGCTCCATTGCTCGAAAACCATATCCATGCCCTTGTTGATGTGCCGCTTCCTTTTGCTGAGGACGTACGCATGTATCGTTTCCCACCACTGGGCAGAGTGATTACTGCATCCGGTGCAACTGTTACGAAGCACAGAAATCTCCCCAATGATGATCTGCTCAAGTCGATGAGTGATTATGTCGATGCAATGGATCTATCAACTTTTGGAAAAGACGACGAAGGGTAATGCAATAATGCTGCTGTCTTTGTTGATCAATACTGACATTTCTAGACAACCGACTGAGTACATGAAGGTCGATGAGACTTATTCGCCGGCAATCCATCGAATCAACAAAGCGATCCGTGACCGAGCATCAAATCCAAAGGCACCTGTCGCTAAGCCGGCTGATGTCTTGATGCAATGGTCGAAACCACCTGCTGAGCTTGTTTCTAAGACTTCTTCCGAGCTCCAGAAGCTTACCGAGGCGGCCAAAATCAAGAAAGGTAAGTCTTTAAAACATGAATATAAATTCAAGACTAATATTCTTCATAGTCCCAGCCAAAAAGAAGGGTAAGAGATTCACCCGCGACACCAAAGCCCCATTATCTGGTCTAGACGTCGACGACCTCCTCAACCGCGAAACTCCCCAAGAAATCACAAAGGAAAACGCCATACCTGCATTCAAGCAGCGACTCCGTCTCACCAAATCAGACAAGGAGATCGGTGTAGCGGTCAAGAAAATGGACGCCGTCATTTGTGACATTATCAAAGAGAGTACTCTGGAAAATGGCTACGCACGAGCACTCGAGAACGTGAGAGTTGTGAGGGAAGAAATGGTGCTGTTGGAACAGTGGGAAATTTACAATGATTTCATCAAGGAGTTGAAGATCAAGATTTTGGGGGAGAAGTTGGGTGTTAATAGGAGGTCTTTCTTCTTGAGTATCAAGACTGCGAAATTGGGGTTGATTGATGAGAAGCTTGTTGATCATTCCCCTGTTACGGAAGAGGAGGCTACGAAGGTGAGTGCGATTGGCCCCAATATCCATGTCCTCTTTACTGATCCTCGATCAGTTTTATTCGATGAAGCTGGAGATCCCGGTTCGAGGTAAGTAATGATGTTTAGCGAGGGAAAATACGGAAGTAAAAGTTAAGATGGGTTGGTGCATTTGTATGAATATTGATGCGGTCGTCATGGTTGCTAGGTTTGTAAGATCTTACCTGGTACTTGTTGACTGGAACTGAGGACTGAAACTATCCATGCACATGAGCTTGCGTTCTGGCTCTTCTTGGTCAAGTTCCCATTTATCGCGCATATATTGTAGATTTGCAACGATCTAAATATTTAGAAGATCATGCTATTCTAGCGATTGTCAGGGGTCTGGTCAGGGGCTGACGGACAAGGTTGCAAATTAGGCTGTGCATTCACAGTAAGCTACAGTACTGTAATGTAACCACCAGTCGATCGCGGCTGAGCCTCAAATCTCCTTTTTTCTTTCCAACCTCTTCAACATTTTTTATCAGATTTTGCTTTGAATTCTATACTACGGACAGCGCTGGAACTTCTGCAGCGGACTCGTCAAATATTTTTACGATTATATATCTAGATTCTTGCTGGATACTTGCTCGTCCTTGTGTTCATTCCACGGGCTAATTATTGATAGAAAGGACTGCACGATGGGTAGGCTTTCATGGGTAAACAACCACGGCGCTTCCTGCTGACTGGGACAGTGAGCTCTGTTGTCTTCAGAAGATCTATGTCAGGCCCGAAGGCATCCCACCACTTAGCAGCTAGGGCCTACCTCGATGAACGCTCTAGTTTGTTGAATCACCCTGAACCTGCTGCAAATTTGAGAGCTGTCACGTGGTCACAGAGGCTTGACACACTCCTTGAACGAGACTCTGGCGTCTACGGGTTTGGGATCATTCGTGCCATTCTGACTAGCTACATCTATGTCCTACTAGTGGTCTTACCTTTGTACTTGTTGGCGTTGCTCATGAATTGGCCACCTGTAATCGAGTTTCTGCTTGGCTTTCTTGCCATTATCCCGCTAGCTGCCTTGATGGACCTCGTGACCGATAATATATCAGCATTTCTTGGTCCGACTGTGGGTGGACTTATGTGGGCAGTATTTGGCAGTAGCGTCCAGATAATAGTAAGGCAGCCAGACTTTTTGAAGAGCGGACAATTGACAAGCGGATAGGTATGCGTCTCGTTTCTAAGAACCAACGAAACGGGAGTTGTGAAAGCGATTCTTATGGGTGATCTCTATTACAATACTCTCTTCGGTCCATGCTTATTCATGATTGTCGATGGTCTTCGTGCTCGATATCTGGAGCAGAACTTTTACATATCGGCCACAGGCGTGATGTCTTTTATGATTCTTGTTTCCACGATTTCTATGCTTTTACCGACTTTTCTCTGTCTTGGTATCTCGCACTTGAGCGAGCAGAAATCTGGTATGACTAAATTGTATCACGGCCTGGCAATAATACTACTGGTCATATACCTTGTTTATCTCATTTTTTTCCATATGGACTCATCCGGATTTATTCGATACAGAGGATGAAGACTATGAAGAGGCAGACACACCCGAGGGAGCACCAAATATCTTGGCCAACTTGATTGTTCTATTGCTTGTCCTCTGTCTCATTGCTTTCTGCACCCAAAGCCTGGTTGTAAACATCACGGAGATGGCCAACAAAACACAAAGCAGCAAAACGTTCATCGGGTTCATTCTTATTCCATTTCTCGACAATGTGGCTACCAGCGTCACATACACACAGGTCACCTTACGGGACAGAATGGGCCTCGCTTTCGGAGTAACTTGCCGGGCTGTTTTGCAAGTCGTCTTCTTCGTGACACCGTGTCTGGTACTTGTGGGCTGGACGATGAACCGTGATTTGACGCTCCGTTTTGACACGGCAGAGGCAGTGGTTGTGGCGTTGTCAACTATTGTTATGGTCCACCTTTTGCAAAATGGCAAATCAAACTATTTCTATGGCGTCCTGTGTTTGGGAATGTATGTCATCGTCGCGACAACCTTCTATATTCTGGCAGATGACCTCAATTTGTAATGCCGCTTCAATTCGGTGCTGGTCTATCTGACGACTTGTGTTCTTTTGGGACGATGGAACATATATTTCAACACAGAAGAGCATGCGTCGCAATTTAAATGAGGAAGAAGGTTTCTTGGCCCTGAACACCTCGCTTAGAAAGTCGTTTGGTGGAATTCTTCGGCCTAGAGCCGTATTTCAGGGTCAACTCTTGGCCACAAGCGATACCAGCCACAGGACCAAGGTACTTGTATTCTGCCGAAGTACCAAATACCGGACGGAGAAGATGTAAACACCTGCTACCGTAAAGAGACACGATGATATCGTCGAGTGATTCCGTACGAGGAACCAAAAGATGGAGATCTGCGAGATCGAAAGAAGCATCCCCAGGATGATCTTCAATATAGGCGAAGACATAGCTCTCTCCAGCCAAGAGACTTGCGAAATCTGGAGCTAATTCATGGGATTTGATCGGGATGTTTTTAAGGGTAAAGGAATCTTCGGCTTCTTGGACGTGAGTGAAGACCACTGAGTAGGTCGGGTTTTGAATTTCTTTGGTCAAACCACCAGAAACACGTCGTGTTGGTCCCCGCATTATATCTTGAATAGTAATGGATTTTCGATATTTGGGCTTAAACCGGTCTCGAGGGTGCGAGATCTCCTTTCTCCGATTAAGCGACGCTAGATGACCAGCTCTCCGTACGCCTTTCATTTCCAGTCTACCTGCCTCGGTGTAAAGCTGCTGTGGAGGCAATACAGAATCGTGGCTTTCGTATTCGGCGGACGGAAGCGCGTAGAACTCGTCCCTTTCAACACCCCATTCTGTCCCCCAAAAGGGTATATCTCCACTCTCCAAGTACTTTCTGTCCCTGAAGACATCAAGAACCTCCAAACTCCCACTCATGTTTATAAAAAACTTGGTTACGTCTTCGTAGACTTCTGATAACGTTTTGTTGTAATTGACGGGGAATCCTACAGCCAACGTTTCAAGGCTTGTCGGTAGCTGAGCAAAGAATTTGACCGAAGGGCTAGTAAGGAGTCCTAGAGTGCCATATATTATATCTCTCTCATCTGAAACTTGGAAAAGAGCACCTAAACTGAGGACATTTACACAATGGGTTAAATAGCCCTGAAGTTCTCCTTGAAACCTGAAGTTTGGTCGATCCGTTCCCCAATGCTGATATTCTCGCTGGTAAACATCTAGCGCGGACGGCACGGCAATATTTTGGCCGCCAAAAATACCAAGTAAGCGTGCTATGCCGTCAAGAAAGGTCCCAAAGTCTAGCTGATACTGTCCGAATTGGAGATTCCACCTTTTAGAAGCAAATACCTCTTGTCTAACCCACGTTCTGACGAACCACGCACTGGAAAGCCGAGCATTGAGAGCATCGATAACTTCATCAGCAACTAATCTGCAAGTCGAATCAAGCTCCCGGTATTCAATCTGATACAGTTGATCCTTCATGGGCTGGAGAGCATCGTAAAGCCTTCCAGACGATGGTTCCAGCTGACCGATCCACGCGATGACGGCGTTTGCTTTCTCGAAAATGCGCAGCAAATTCCTGACTTGATGAGCTTTCTCAACCAGATTCTCTTGGTTGATACAGATTGCGTCAACCCAAAGATGTCTGTTGATGGTGCTTGATCTAAGGTATCGCAAAGCCGTTGCCAGCTCTTTTGCAATTCCAATCGGGATTTCGTTACAAGTCATTGAACAAACAGGTTCTGAGTTTCCCCAGGCATAAGAGAGGGCTTCGAAGTTGGCCACCTCCGAAGTCTCAACAATCCCAAGTCCGTGTCCGTCTATAACGTCGACCTCAATGAGACTACATTTCAGTCGAGATCCGGGCTCCCCGGGTAGAAGAATGAGCAAACGTCTTTGCCATGGTTTCAGTGTTTGGTAGAGCGACGTAGTAGATGACTTGATGAACTCTGCTTCCTCTTTGTTGAGATACAATGGTTGTAGAATATTGTCTTCCAAAGGTCGTTTCCCGATTTCCCGGAGCCATACTGAAGTAGAGACAAGGTTGTCTGGGGCAAATACGCTCAAAACATTGTCGCTTGAAGCTGGTTTCACCGCTTCATCAGCGCTTTCTGTGGAGTTTGTGCCGAATGAAGTTGATCGGTCTCCTGGTGGATTGATTGACCCTCGATTGACCCTCGATTGACCCTCCTCATACGCCCTCGTAGCCCAAGCATATTGAAGGGAACGTATACTGAGCGCAGTGATGCTTTGGTGTAGGACTTTTAAATGAGTAACAATCACCAGTCCGTTAATGCTGTAGCAACTCTCTTGACAAGAATCTTTTTGAATTGAAATAACTGAAGATGTCGCTTGAAAGATGATCACAGATGACAGATGGCTTACCATGGATTCGAGTGATTGGATTGATAGAGAAGATAAAAGTGGAGCAATTACCAGGGGACTGTACTACCTGAACTATCTACTGTCAGGATGAGTGTTTAGTCAGCTTATGCTAGGGTAAACCCCCTTATATACCCATTCTCGCCATTCTGCTTGACAGAGGCCATTCCATTGAATTCTCACTTCGATATCTTTTTCCTCTGATAATAACAAGGATGATGAAAAGCTTGAGGCCATTTTCGCCCTTTCATATATATACTTTCAGCGCGTGTTGAGAAGTGAACTACCCAGGAAGTGTTAATATTGGGCAAAGTTTACGATCTACGAAAAGAGAAAAATAGAGTTGTTCTCAAAGTGTCACAAATCAAGAGATGCATAAATCCCAAAGTTGCATTTTACAATTCTCACTAGAGGAAACGATACCAGATTAGGAGGTCTGCATGTTCAAATCTCATTTCAAACCCTCACGCTAATGCGACACCCGCAATTCACCACCTGCACCTTACCACCGCAAAGACCCCAAAAAACAATTCCACAAAATGGCAAAAACTTAATTACCTACGCACAAGAACTGTACAAGGCTCTCAAGGAAACTTAGACACTATTTCTGGCCGGTTTATTACTTCGCTCCGATAGGCCGCGGCTTGCAGAATTTTCAACGTCTTCCTCCTGACTGTTGTGCCCACGCGCCAGTGCAACCGGCAATCACGCTAGGTCGAATAGCGAAAGCTGGATGTGTTATTTGTGATTATGAGGGAGAACATCGGGAGTGGGGTGGGGGTGTGGAGAGGGGGGAGGTGGTTGGTTGGTGGTGGTGAGTGAATGGGCAGGAAGCGAAGGAAGACTGTGTGGTAGGTATTTTGGTACTGTAGTACGTGTTTACATGATGTTTTTCTGCATTTGTAGAGGTTATCTCGCCTTCTCTTAAGATCTTTCCCAGGATATCAAATCTTTCGTTTTCCTTTTGCAGTAAGAGAGAGGCCAGGCAAGGTTCGAATTGAGACACATCTACGTCTCAACTCTCTCCTACAAAACAATATGATCGTTCTATCCTTCCCTAAGTTGATACTATACCATAGAAATTGTTTGGACGCACCTTCCTAATTATAACCTTAGGACTTGTGTTCCGACAATGAAACAGGAGAAGGAAGGCGCGACTTGAATCTTCCCAAATCACCCCGCTGCATACGCGATTACACCTTGACTTGACGTGGTTGTCGCACGTCAAGTCGTGCCTGCCTCAATAACATGAAAACTAGCACGCCAATCTTCCCGTCATCACACTTCTGCAACTTCCCCAAATTTGTTAAACTTGAATTCCATACTCGCTGTCCGTTCCCATTCCAAGTCATCTGGGCAGGTTTTCGAGTCCCAAGGGGTCGTATATCATACCATGGCTTCTTGTTATTCAAACCTTTCAAGCCCGGATTACCTTCGCGACTGTGTGGTTGCCACCTCTCAGAAGAGCATCAATGCCGACCTGGCTCGATACCTCCAAAATGCCAGCAATAAACCGATGTTCACCTACCTCCGCTTCCTGGCAAATGTTAAGAATCATCCGAATCATCCAGCAGATAAGGTATCTCTCGAGGGGCTTCTGGAACTCAGTGGCGGGATCAACCCCTTTGACATTCCTCACAAAACCAAAACAAACGACCTGCGTATTACCAAGCTTACTGAGATTCGATTTGTATGCGCAGTCAGAATGCAAGTCGGGATTCCTCCCGGATGCACTGTTGATGGTAAAAGCGAAGGCATCAAGATAGAGCTACCTGAACCGATCGTTACTCTGGGCCATACTTCGGAAAGACTTTCCTTCAATATGTACTGTTATGAGCTTACCATCATCAAGAATACTCTGAAAAATAAGGCCATGGGAAATTATGTATCGTGGAAATGGTTCAGTCAAAAGTCGGGGGAGCCGTGGTTTGTTAAGACAACCACGAGCTTGGTGGTCTCGGCTTTGGACCATAGTCTCAAGACTCCATACTTTGATGCACACCCGGAGGAAAGGGATACAATCAAGCAGAGTCTAAGCAATGTTACGGATTCGGCATTCAGCTTACAACAGCTCTATTTTGATTTGGAAAAGGCTGACGTTCAAACAGTCCCGTTATTCGTGGGCCTTAACAATGGAACGGTCCGAACTATGTTGAAAAAGAACTTCATAGATATCTGCGCAGCGAATGCCAAATCACAAGGTCTGCCACTCATTGGAGTCATCGCTGTTGCTAAAAAGCCAGATAGAGATGCGCGTCGCTTAACGGAAGTGGAGCGGTGGGTGGACCCTGTCTTTGATACACTGACTAGGAAACCGAAAGCACATCCATCTCCACTAGAGCTTTCGAACACGACAATCAACTATATCTGCCTACAGATGTTGATGACTTACCGGGGGCATCAAAATTCAGCTGGGATTGGATAGAGCCACAGGATGTGGCCCAGACGGGCGGCGTTATTGCCATCAAACGAAGCACACTTGCGGCATATCTGGTCAATGAAATGCTGGGCAAAGCTCGATACTCTTGCATTCAGCCCTGGTCAGTCGTGACTACAGATATCGGCAGTGGTGAAGTCAAATTCTCCTGGGGCTTCCCCTATGGACAACCAATTGTCACCATCCTAAATTCCGGCCCGTTGGTAGCCACAATAGACCACTCGGGTATTTCGAGCCAAAGCACTGCTGCTTATGGCGAGTTACAGATCACTTCTACCTATTCTTGTCGCATCGTCCTTGGGAAATATGACAAAACCGTGTCTCCTCCTGTTTACCATGGTGGCAACACCTTTACCATTACCCAGAACCTCAGGGTGAGCCCTTATATCCAGTATACGGGCCAAAGTAGAAGCGCCAGAGTCTTTAATACAACTATATCAGATGAATTTGCGATTTCCGTCGACGAGAATGGCGGCCTTACCACTACTTCACATGGGGCCTCAAATACCACCGATGACGCATCGGAAAGTGACATCGCTTGGGTCAAAAACATATTCTCCGGCGGTGATAGTTTGGTCAATGACATAATAGTTGCATGCATGGGGTTTGGCAATGCCGCCATCTCACCCATTCCCTTCAATGCGATGAAAAACTTGGTGTTCCCGGGGGCCAAGGTGTTCTCCTACAAGTCTGCTAGTATCAGGATCTTATTTGTGCCTATGCAACATGTGCAGCCAATCAAGTGAAAGTCGAAATCATATTTCCCTCTGCGGCAGTCACAAGTCCAAGTTCAGTCACAAGTCCAGTCCCAGATGCACAAGATGTGATTGACCTTACAGAAACGTCGCCTGAGGAAATATCTAGCGAAGACGAAGTGGGAGCATATTCCATGATCGAGGAGATTCGTAAAGATCTTGGAACTCACGTTGTTCACTCTTCACATACACCCGGGAGGCAGTATATCGTTCCGGAATCGGAAAATGCCGGCCTTTCTGCTTTACATCCACCTGCAGGCCAATATATCAATCTAGAACCCGAAAATGCTGGTATTTCTGCTTTACATTCACCCGCTGGCCAACAACTCAATTTGCAAACTGAAATAGGCGTTGTTCCAGCCTCCAATCCTTTTCCTAATCCAGGACCTGAGATTGGCATTCTTCCAGCTTCTCACCCACCTATGAGCCAGGAGGAGATGAGCCAATATCTCAATTTGGAGCCTGAAAAAGACGTTACTCCAGCATCCCACCCACCTGCAGGCCATTATGCAAATCTAGAACCTGAAATGGACGTTACTCCAGCATCCTATCCAGTCACTGATCCAAGACCTGAGATTGGGATTCTTCCAGCTTCCCATCCACCTGAGAGCCAACATCTCAATTTACCACCTGGAATGGATGGAACTTTCACCTCCCATCCATCTATTGACCTGGCATCTGGAATGGACGGTATTTCATTTTCCCATCTACCTGACAGCCAGCATAATAATCTAGAATCTGGAATGGATGGAGCTTTCACTTCACATCCATCTCTTAGCCTGGTATCTGGAATGGACGGTATTTCAGTTTCGAATCCACCTGAGAGCCAGTATAATAATCTAGAGCATGGAATAGATGGACCTTCCACTTCCTTTCCACCTCTAGACCCAGGACCTGAAGCTGGCGGGCATCTTGCATCCCAACCACTTGGGAACCAGTATTTGGATCTAAGACTTGAAATTGACGGTATTCTCGCTTCCAGTCCATCCACGAGCCAGCATTTCGGTCTGGAACCTAGAATGAACGAAGCTTCCGCTTCCCAATATATCGACACAGGATCTGGAATGGGCGGAGCTTCCACTCCCCATTTTAGCGACACAGGATCTGGAATGTACGATCTGTCCGCTCCCCAGCCACTTGAGAGCCAGTTTATGAATCCAGAACCCCTTGATGTTTCTAATCCACCCGAGAGCCAGTATATCGACCCATCCGCTTTGCATCCACTTGAGAGCCAGCATATGAACATAGAACCGCTTTCCACTGGCCATCCATCGGAGAGCCAGCATATGGACCTACAACCCCCCGCCGCTTCCCATCCATCTGGGGGCCAGTATGTGAACCCAACACGACCTCTTCATCCGCTCGAGAGCCAGTGTAATGACCTTCAAGACTTGATCGATAGTCTTCCCCTCGTCTGATACTTGAAAATCACGGCCCCGTTAATGCGGTAGTAAACATAGTTCATACTCTGGTGGTGACTGGTTGTAAAACAAGCTATACAGTCATTTTGGTGGCGCGCACCACTTTCCTTCTTGTTTTGAGGTTATACTCACTTATTGTAACTTAGCGGGGCTGCTAGAGTCTCTTCGCACTCAGTTGCGCTGCTGTAGATTTAAGCACAAAATACTTTATTACCAACCCAAATCACTCGGTAGCGTTGATGTGCAATCCTTTCTAGAAAACATGAATTTTTCTGCCTCAATATGTTTGTTCTGTAATGGTGCTGTAGGCGATAAATAGTAGTAGAGTACCGCGATAGCGAAGCCGTTAGTAAAACGAAGGTAACTTGAACAAGGATACACTTTTTTAACTTTAATTTTCTTTATTTAATAACTACCGAGCAATAAGAAGAGTTCTGTTTATTAGTAACAGGGGTTTACAATACTTTTTATAGTGTGGTAGTAAGAGTAATATAGAAAAGGTGGGAATAACGTACTAGAAGCTCGGATCGCCTGTTAAGCGAGGGGATAGGGGCTCGAGCGGGTCGTTGTACCTAGCGCTATAAATTAGGTGTCTTTACTTTTTATGTTTGTTTTTTTCGCAATTGATGTAAGTGGGTCTTCTTATGCTGCTGTTTCTTTGGGGTTATCATAGTCCGATAGTCTAGATTTAGAAAGCGAGAAGGGAAATTTAACTTGAAGGGGTTCGAATTGGTGTGGGGATGGTGTCTGGTTTTAACGGTCTTGTGTAATTATTGTCTTGGGGTGAGATGATGGAATGGTTGTATATGGATAAAGGACATTTTTGTTGTTCGCTGACTTCTATAGAACGAAAGGAATGGAAATGGAAGATACTGTACAAGTACTATAAAGATAAAATATATACATTGAAAAGGTATCGCTATAACCAGATAATCAGACCTACTATCTCATGCAGACAAGATTATAAGTTCTAATCAACAAATAAAACACATCCACACATCGAATTCGTCAAAATGAGAGAATCAAGTAGAGGAGTAAGCCCGGTGCCCCATATCATCAAGCATTAGCCCAAGGTCCCTCTCCCTCCCGCGCGTTCTCATAACCACCACGATGTCTTTTTTGCATGTTATTGGGTGAATAGTATGTGTAATATTGCTTAAGAGTCGTGGTTAGGAGGGATGTGGGGGATGGCCGTGATGAGGTGGTGATGGGGTCTAAAGTAGCTGATGAGCTTGAAGTGGGTGGTGGAGATGCTGTATAAGACGGAAACCCGGTCGCGGAGCTAGTATCGTAAATATAGCTAATTGCGGAAGACGTTGGGGAACTGGATTGAGCTGATATTGTTGAGATGATCATTGGTGGGTGGTGTTGTGTAGGTCCGGGGACTCCTGAGGTATACACCGCGGAGCTCGAGGGGATTGAAGGTACGGAGGTTGAAGTCTGACTTGAGACTGGTAGTTGAGTCGCGATTTGGATGTAGGAACTTGATAGATTGGGGTCGGCGGTATTGCTTGCCATGTCGTTACTGTTTGATACCGAAGTTTGTAGAGTAGATAGTGTGTATCCCGTTTCAGTGGTACTGAGCTGACTAGACGCGGTATTCGAAGTGCAAACTTCGCTCGCGGTGTAAGGTGTAGGGCTGGAGATGCTCGTTGAGACTGATGTACCGTTGCTTCGGCAGCCTGAGCGAGAAGTGGTGGAGTTCGCGTATGGTGGTTTGGGCGAACTTGTTAACAGCGTTGTGATGGAATCGACTGAGGAAAACGGCGGTGACTGTTGGCTATCCGAAACTCCTGTCTGATAACCTGTGGAAACTGACGTCTCACTGGGTTCTGATGGAGGTATTGTCACGGTTATTGGCGAAAGAAGAGATGTGAATGTAGTCGTGGTGCGAGACAATGTTGCGATCACCGTCTCTGTCGATGTCTCCGTGAAAGTGAGGTATCCTGTGGTTGTTGAAGAATAGGGAAGTGCTGAGGGAACCTCAATACTTGAAGACTGGCCAGAAATCTCCGTTGCGGTTTCTGTGATGGTTTTGTATACTGTTTTTGTACAGCTGCATTCTTCATTTGGTGAGATTGCTGTTGTGAGAGGGCTTCTGGGTTTTAGTGTTAGCGGGATAGGTGGAAGTTGGGGGGAGGACAAACCTGAATGCTAGCAGAGCCAGGATAATGGTTTGTTTGGGAAACATGGTTGAGTAGTTGAGGTTGTTAGCAATTCTTGTCAAAAGAAACGGAGAATTGGAGGTAGAGAACCCCAGCACTTTGCTCAGCCAGGAAAAGGATATATGTAGTCAATCGTAAGAACTCACCGCTTACTCTCAATCTTGTTTGTACGATCTACTCCTGCCAGAAAGCTTCAACTCTACAGCTACCCGCATATTCAGTATATGTTCACTGCCGAAATAACGCGCAGAGAAATGCAAAGATGCTTAGATTTGTTGGGACATGCGGATGTTGTGGAGTTCAAACGCTGTCAGGGGCAAGTGTACAAGATGCAGTGTGACTTATGATAGCAGGTATACCCGAAGAACAGCATCTCCCAGTGAGGGTTTTATCCCTGAGACTTGCTTCCTTATCTAGGCATACTGATAAAACATATCTCTTTGAATTCGGCTTAAGATTACGTGAAACTGGCTTTGCATGCTCCCGAGAACTCACGTCTTGATGACCTGACTTTGGGGAACTGAAAATACCAATGGCGGTTGCTGGTTGCGTCTTTTACAGATACAGCGTACAATTGGAACAGATTATATTTTGTATGGATAGGAAATCCCAGAAACTTTTGAAAGCTTGCCTAGACTTTGAGAAAAGTTCCGTGAAGCAAGAGAACAGACCCAGAAGCCACCCCGTTGACAACGTGCCAGCAATCAAAATGGCAGCTTTCAAACGGAGAAAATTATCCTTCCACACACCATCTACATGAAAATCACATGCTCTCAATCTCATGTGGAGGTGCAGTAGGTAAGACATCGTGCTGCCAAACTCGGCTGTTTACCGAACTCGGGAGACCAACGGGAGTAATTGTCAGATGTTAATTGGGAGAACTGAAACGATTACTTGATCACTTATCTCTCACCACTTCATATGCAGTGCCAGTGGTTTTATGGCCACAGAGGTGATGTGTGCATAGCACCAGAAGAGGGTATCTGGTGGCAGATATGCAAGGGCCCGTTGGGAGATGCAAGTCATCGTTTCAAGTGAAATTAACGGGATATCTGTATCACGTAGAAGTATGTAGTACTCGCTATACTGTGTATGTAAGAGGGGTGATTATGTCAACGTATCTGCATTGGAGTTTATTCCACGTCACATACGGTATTCTTACTCTCACATTCAAGTCACTCCTCCAGCCCTTTTCGTGATCCACAGGTTCGACTTCGCCCCAAGCCCAACCAGAAGTAGATCATCTAGTAAATATCGCTCTATCCCACCATCTATGAGTCCTTCCCATAACACTTGAGAATGGCCGCATTATATTCAGCTTCCAATCTCGCGACCTCAGGTGACCTCTCCTTCTCAGACTTCTGTCTTTCAAGTATCGCCGTAACATCAGCACCTGTTAACTCACGTTCTGACAATATACGCCAAGAACCAGTGGCTAGATACTGATGACGCAGATGTCCCTCCATAACCTTCTCCATTTCCATTGAGTGATTCAATTTATATTTTACGTAAGCCTCAGCCTGGCGCTTCCTCTTATCGTCCTCTGCAGAAGTGGTGTCTGGTTGAGTTGCGGATGACGGGATACTGACTCCTGTTCCTATTCCTGGCTTGTTGGTGCAGATCTTTTTGAGCGGTGGTGTGTTCTCACGCGACTCGACTGAAATGGTAGAGTCTGGTCCTCTGACCCGATTTCTCTCTTCTGGAGACTCCGCCGCAGCTTTATTGTCGAAGATCTTTGAGAGGGTAGCGAATGATGGGGGATATACTGCTGATTTTGCCATGTTGACTGAAATTGTATTTCCTTTGCTCTTTGTCCGAATGGGGATAGACGTGGTATTGGCTCTTGTATCTGTTTTATTGGCGGAGATGGACTTGGGTGGTGCGTTATTGCGCAAAGTTGCTTTGGTTCTGGACCTTCTTTTGTTTCTTGCGCGAGTAGAGGCGGTTCCAGAAATGGTATTGGCTCTTGTACCTGTATCTTTGATGGTGTTGTAGCGGGGATCTATTTGACAATTTCCGTTAAGTGAGTCTGCAGAAGCTGCATCGTCTTCTTCCCTTGCGCGGGCAGTGAGCAATGTGGTGCCGACTCTTGCATCTGCCATGGGACGTGTATTATCATGCTCAACGGCAATTGCATCATTGCCTCCTCTTGTTTGGTCAGCGACCAAGGTGATACCAGATCCTCTGTCTGACATATTCGTGGGTGTCAAAATGGGAGCTGTATCATTGCGCAGAAGCACATTGATATCTCCCCTTACACCAGGCGCCTCAACCTCTTCTTGCTTAATCACAACTGGCTTTGGAGCGCAGAGACCCTTCGCAGGAAGAATGCGTCTGGAAAGTCGTTTGGCACAGCGGCCAATTCCCGCCGTGTGTATGCAAAACTTATCGTTACGCCAGTTGTAGCCTCCGCACGTGTCGCAAAACCATCCTCCTTCCTGCCTCCAACGATCGCTCTGACCTATAAGGCTATTCAGACGTTCCTTGGAGAGAGAAGAGTACTTTGTGGGCGAGAAGGTTGGTAAGCGTTCATAGTCTTCATTTGGCAGTGGTTGGGTTGCTTTCAGACGGGATTCGAGTCTCATTTGCTGCCTAAACTGATTGTATTGTTCAGGTAAGGGCTTATCTTGCTGAATGGTACTTTGATCTGGTTGTTGGTCGATGAGAAGCGTGTCAGGAGTAACTATGCTCAAGGGCAATTGGCGATCTCCGCATTGAACGCAAGACTCCTTGTGAAGCCAGTTATCCATTTCACACTTGCTGCATATCCAACCTCCTTCTTGCTGCCAACGATGACTGGTGCAGCGGAGTCCGCGTCGAGGCTTTGGAACGCGTTGGCTATTGCAAAGAAAGACAACAGTGCTGGCAACGTACATGATCACCATATTCCCGTACTGTAGTCATACTTGCTGTCGGTTCGGATGGTTGACTACCTTGACGAGGTTGACTACCTTGAGGAAGTTCAGGAGGAGCTGTCAACATAGATGATCGGCCTCTTCCACACCGAGCGCAAAAGTCATTGCCAGCCCAATTATCCTTTTCGCAATTGCTGCACATCCAACCTCCGCCCTCCCAAAGAGAGCGGTGGACACCACTTTGAGGCTTTGTAACAAGTCAGCTTTTGCAATGGAAGAGAGTAGCGTGGGCAACGTACATGGTCCGACATGCTTGTTGTCTGTGGTTGGTTTCTTGACGCGACTAATCCTCGGTCTCAAAATTGGAGGAAAGGAGAACCTGTGTTATGATTTCGTCAGAGACTTTGCGAAGTGGTAGCGAAAGACTTGGGCTAGCGCGTTCTGGGACATAAAGCGGCGGTCCTTAAAATAAGGCTCATTGATAACGCATGTCTCTTAGCCCATTCAATGGTGAATCTCATCCAACCTAAGCATTTTGAAGGCACAAAACCTAATACAGTGAAGGAAAGGGCCATAAGAACCCATCCTTTGTGAGTACTTTGCAAACATTTACACTTGAGCCAGACAAAAGTCTCCTCATCAGATTAAGCGAGGGTTTGTAAAGCGGCAGTACGGTGCTATAGTAGTCCACTACTACTGTATAAAACCTAAACTCCAAACTCCTACCAAAACAGCTATTTTACCTAATTCTCAACGACATATATCCAAGCAATGTTGCGAGATAAGAAGGGGAGAACTCCTAAATTTGTAAAGTAAAGTACTGTAAGATTACACGTGGGTATTAAATACCCAGAGATGACGCTACTGGTAGCGGATAGCGAGTAATTATCAAATATGTCCAACAAGCAATATATTCAAGTAACAACAGACAACCTTTCCTGCTGATCATGAATGCTCCAATAACAACGTTCAGAAATTAGGACCCTACTCATCAGTTAAAGCGCGATAAGCCCAACAAACAAACCTAACAAACAAACCAAGCAAAAGTCTCATTGACTCAAAAACATTAGGTGAGATTGTCACTTCATGTCATGAGCCAGACAAAGACGAGTCACTCCAATAACGAGATGTCTCATAAAACAGTCTTAGTGACTACACCACCTTTACATCAGTTTCCCCTCCTCATAAAGTCTTTCCCTAGCTCAACAAAATCCCAACTTTCTGTGCCATGACCAATAGCGAAAATCCGTACATCAAGATGTTCTCCCAATTTTCACGGAAAGACAAGTTATACGCAGCTCTCAGCATCTCTGCGTTTATATTCTTAATGGAAACGATTGGTAAGTGGAGATAAAATATACTTGCATGCCTTACTGACATAATATTTTCTCTTCTTCAGTTGGATTCCATACATGCTTGCTAGTTCTATTCGCTGACGCAACCCATGCTGTAAGCCCTGACACAATAAACTTCCATCTCATATCAAGGATTAACTCTCACAGCTTAACAACACCCTCAGCTTCGCAATCACTTTAGGCGCAGAAAAGGTACGTATCGACCTCCACACATCACTCCTATTACACATACACATACCCTAACCCGCCCAGCTCCAAGAAACCCATTCAAAACACCTCCCTCAATCCCGCTAAACCTCCCCCCTGTTGGCCTCCTTCTTCCGAGGAACCTTACTCGTAGGGCTGGGTGTAAACCTTATTCTATGTGCGATAAGTCTCTTCATCTCTCGCATACGTTAGTCCATCCCCCAGTATATCTAGAGCGGCTAGCTTACAAGGAATAGGAATGCAGAATCCGCTTTTGGTACTGTGTGTAGGGTGTGTTAGTCTGGGATTGAATTTACTCACGGCTCTGGCTTTTCATGCTTTGCTACTGTATTCGTTCGTTTTATGGTTATATCCTGATTTTGGGTAGTTGAAGATAGAGGAGAGGATCTCGAGTCTGGGGTTGAGTTGAAGATAATGGTTAGTTACAGAATCCATACCACAACCCACAAGAAGATGTTAATATAGTGGCTCAGTGCTCACATGAAACATACTCCATGCATGTCCTAGCCGATCTAACATGTAACCTTGGCGTCGTTATCGCAGCAGTAATTGTTATGTGATTAACAACCGATAGTCGATATTACGCAGATCCCGGTGCTAGTATCGGGATAGGAATCGTGGTTGTGACTTTTGCTGCGCGTCTTGGTAAGTTCTTTCATGTTTTTATAGAGGAATTTGGTTACTCATGTATTCGTAGCGAAAACGAATTGGATGCTTCTCCATCAAGCTCAAGATTCGGGTTTGAGGTCTAGTAATAGCGGTACTGAGATAGATGGACATGTTGATGAACAGAGTGGGGATCAACATAGCCCAGGCGATGCAGACGAGGAAATAGTAGAAGAAGGGAAAGAAGGGGAGAATGAAAATCCATGGAGCGAAGATCAAGAGGAGGAGTAGGGGCTGGAGCCCGGAGAAGACAATGAAACGAAGGCGAAGATGAAATTGGGAATGAGTATCAATACGGAGTAGACCAACCAGCCGACAATCCCGCAGAGGAGGATGACGAACCCGGCGACGGGAATCAAGACGAATTCCAGGATGAAAATCAAGAGAGATCGCAAGAAGCAGGCGATGATTTCAACTTAAAAGAAGAACATGAAGATCCAGCTGACCCATACAACGAAGAGAACGGCGAACAAGAACCCTCAAACGAGGATTCATGGGATGACATACCAATCGAAGACACCGTAAATCCTCAAAGCGAAAACGCGGAGCCTTCAGACGATATGAATCAACCAGAGGAGACCACAGAAGAGCTCGGATACGGAGAAAGCAATGACACATTATCAGACCCCAATAGCTGGGAAAATGGAGAAGAATCAGAACAGGTTATGTCTGAGGAAATCTCGCCAGATGCTTCCATAGAATCTACCCCAGATAACGAAGAGCAAAAGCAAGCTCAACAGATTGTACAAGCTGTTGAAAACAATAATTTGGGTCCAGAGGGTGACGGCGTAGCTAATTTAATCAAGAGGGCGAAGATGGCTTTGATATTTTAACATTACCACATACAATGAATATTAATGGGACGCTTCTTGTAACTTTATCTATTGGAGAAGAAAGGAAAGGTGTCAGAAACAATATAACGCTTAAGAGGTTTCTTTATGTCCCGTGGACTCATAACAAAGTATCCACACAATCGCAAAAAAAACCTTCATTTCCAAGTTGTTAAGTACTGTATAAGTATACAACTCCCCACTCCAACCCACTCCTCTCCAACTCTCCTACAATACAATCAACACACCCCTAAAACCAAGTCCCGCTCAACAACAACACAACACCCCAACCCCAATCAATCACGACCCACCCACCACTAATCTCTCACCTATACC